TGCTATAAAATAAGCGCACGAGATTCATATTGTCAGATCTCTTTACATTTTCAGCTTGAGTTGACATCAATCTGATTAAATTACGCAATCGACTAGCATTTCTTGGGTTTCATCTGTTGTCGTCACCGTTTCAATTCTCTTAGCGAATCGACATTGACACAACAAAAAAAAACTCAATGTGAAATAAAGAGTCGCCCGTAGCGAACCATATCCATTATGCAATGTTGGTATCATTTATGCATCGTGCTTTATCAATTGCTGGGGCATTCGATTTTTATATTATTTTTGTATATGAAAAGTGGACCATTGATTAACATCGCTCCGAAGCCAACAGAAGCCACTCTCCGAGATAACAATTGAAATCGTATCTGTCAACAGTTCACTTTGTGTTAACAAGCTCTTAAATAATTTCACATGAAATCATGTTGTTTGATTTAGCAAATTGCATGCGCTGATTTTACCCAAAGTGTTTGCTCTCTAGCACACAAATAGAAATGAATCCATCAGCTGTGTTGATTGATCCCTTTGAACACTTTGTTATAAATAAAATTACTAATTCACTCAACTACCAAATGACTCCGCAAAATGGGCCATTCCATTAAACTACGACGATGATGAGTAAGCGATTGAGAGACAGACAAATTGGCACTAAAGAAAAACCGTACATTACTTGCGGTGAAATGGCCACAAATACCATTTGCATCACATCATCAGCGGTTATGGAAAGATGGAAATGATTTTTATTTGTCTACGCAAATCATTTTATGACGTTACTTTTCCTCTCTTCATTGCTCTTGGTAGTTAAGTTAATGCGGTGCGGTTCATTGGAGTGTGTAATATTTTCGCAAGCCAATTCGAAGAAACTGCAATTTGTAAATGTGAAACAGAAAAAAAAGCATGACAATGTGACATCTGAGACATGACACATTTCGGAAATTTGGAGCAAAGTTCGTGCACAAGCTGTGTCGACACACAGAAAACGGTTTGGGGTCGTGATTTGACGGTGTTAGTGTGTCATTTTGGCAATAAATGCTGCCAAGAGAGAAAAGTCGAGCACATTTTTGTCGGCAATTCTGCCGAAAGCTGAACGAAACAAATGAAACAAAAATTCAGTGCACGACATTAAGTCATAAACGAAAATTATAAATATTTTCACCGAAGAATGAAACATTTCAGCACATACACATACAGAATTCAACAAGGAACGAAGTGATTTTTTCATGAAGAATGAAGTGTTTCGTTTTTGTTTCTGTTTATTGCTTGAGTGTCGTTTGTAATGTTCACTTCATTTATCCATGACATTGACCATAAGTCACAAAATGTACAAAGAAATGACCGAAATGACGCATTTCGCTTTGTTTTCAAATCTTTTTCTCTACCTTTTCTTGTGAAATGGCCCACACCATCGAAATAAAGCAGAAGCAATTATGAAGTGTCATTGTGAATGGCGCAGCATGTAGCACATGATCTGCATGCATAATTCGATTGCAGTCGACTGATCGTATTTGTATGTCTCATGTGTCGCATTTGTTAAAATTTGTGGAAGAATTTCAGCCGGAAAGTTGTTTGAGTGATCGCACACGGCTGGACAACCGTCGCAACAAGTAACAAGTGAACAGAAATTAATGCCATTTTTTGTGCATTCCGGTTATTGTAGCATGAAGGAATCCGACAGCAAAACAAAAAATAAAACACAAATTAGCATCGAAAATCTCTCAAGCAGTTAAAAACAATCTTATCATTCTTCTTTTTCTCTGGGTTTTCTTTTTGAGTAGACAAGATAATAAGCCGTAAAAAAATTTTTACAAGTGAATTCGCAATGTTTCCGTCTTCCAGAAGGAGACAAAAAAAACGAACGTGATCAAAAGACAAATCGGAGAGAAAGAAGACGAGAAAAAAATGGAGTTGAAGAAAGAACGGAAAGGGCATCGAAGATAAAGTGCAAGAGAATGGCCTGAAGAACTGTTTTCGATTGCAATTTGAGAATACGTTTAATGAAGTTGGACGTCACACACGAAAACACTTGAAAAGGAACCCTTTTTTTTACGGAAATGCCATTTCATTATTATTTGTTATAAACGTATTATGTTCGCTCTCCAGAGTTCTTTTACTTATCATTTTATGGTCGTGCACACTTTTGAAGGTAGCCACGCAAACCAACACATTTGCCAAAAGTGGCCGAAACCTTGTTGTTGGGTGTTTTTTTATTCTCTCTTCCTGACTGCAGTTCGTCTCATTTTAAAAGGTCTCCACATACATCGTTTTACGACAATACAGTCGACTGCTGCACTTTGGCTGGTTCTCATTCTTCTTCCACTTCTTCTTCATCAGTTTGTTTTTGTGTTTGTACACATTTTTCTCTCCTTTCCTCGTCTCAATTTCTCTATTCACGATTATGCGAATGGCGCATTGAAATATCGTACATCAAACAAAAACACACATAAAGCATTTGCATTTCGGTTTGTTGTTTTTTCTTCTTCTGCATTTCCACTCAAACGGTATGCTGTGCTGAGAGTATGTTTCACGAATAGAAATTTTATGCAACAGACTTTTATTGCATAAATTCATGTAGAGAAAAGTACTCGCTGAAAGAGAGACTCAAAAACAGCAAACCGAATTGTATTCGCATTGCAAGTGAGAAGAGCCATCCCAAGAGGAAGGCAGAGAGAGAGAGAGAGAGCGCGCGTTTGTGAGTTTGAGATATGTTCACTTGGCATGTGTATAAATTATGTGCACACTCTCATGCTTCCTGGTGTGTTGTCGATGCTAGTTCTCTGCAACGAAAAAAAAAGAAACAAGCACACTCGGCTGAAACTCGTCGAAAATGCATTTAGCTCGTTTTCTGCATCTAATTTGATGTGCTCCAGAATTGCATCGTTTGTTTTGGTTTTGATACAAAATAACATCCACAATGAAATTACATGCATTTATTCTGGTCGCAGTAGACGTGTACAGCACACGGCACAGCACGACGAAAGAAAAAAAAACCTACGCTACACAGACAACAAACATGTTCTAGACCGACATAAAATAATGTGCTGCAAGTATCAAAGAGAGAGAGAGAGAGAGAGAGAGAGAGAGAGAGAGAGAGAGAGAGAGAGAGAGCGACTCACTTAGGTGATGCACAGAATAAATTGCAGCACAAATCCTTGAAAATCACATTCAAAATGCAGCGAAATTTTCGCTACTTTTCTAAAAAAGAAAATCGATTAAATCGTCTCACAATGCGATTCACGGCCGAGCTACGGAACGGAAAATCAAGCGAATAATTGAAATAAATGTAGATCGTGGTATTGATTGCCGAGTACGATCCATACCATGGCTTTGGTGCATAATTTAGTTGCTCTTGTTCGAAAGCCTCAAGCACATACAGGTATTGCTTTTTGTGTTTTGTTTCAGTGCAATTGATGATGTAAGCAACAATGAAATGGTATCAAAACAAAACAAAAAAACCATGTTGGCATCGCTGCAGAATGATAAACGAGTTTCCGAGCAAACAGAGGAAGGAAAAAAGACAGCAAATTATGGCAGACCAAAAAGAGTGAATCAAAACGAACGATCACACACACAAAACAAACAGAACGAACGAACGAACGAATGAACGGTAAAGGGGGTCGTGAATTGTCTCTAAACTCAAAGTCAGCAAACAACTGTTGCAGGCGTTCATTCATCCATCCGAGGCGGCTGACGTAAATGGCAAACCAAATTGTTGATAGACAAACTTTCTTTGAAGTGAAGACACTGAGGCTGCGGCCAATCAAGAGAAAAATATTGGAAACAATTATGAGCAGATGGTCGTTTCATGTTCAATCGCCGGCCTTTTGTTCTTCTGAATCATCAAAGACTCGTCACTTTCAAAAAGCATTGATGCACTTAATTTGACATTCAATACGAATCGTCGGCGGTGCTGCAGTCGAATCAGCAATCAAACATCAAATTTTTTTTTTTTACGAAATCAAATCATCTCGTTTTATGGTAATTCCCATTCAGTTTGGTGAGCACTGAATCCTATGGATTTACTATCATTTTGTTTATTGCTTTCGATGTGTTTCAATGCGACGAACAAAATGTTTTTTTTTTGTTTATGATTCGTTTGTTTGGCTGACAAGCAAAGAATGAAAGCATACGACCGAGCGAAAGAAGTGGAAACGCAGATAAAACGGAATAACGACAAAAAAAATAAATTCATAACGAAGAAGAAAAAAAAAACGATCAGTGTATGTTCTTTTCTGTCATTGTATCAACCGTAGTATGATATGACAAACCGAATCGTCGCATTGTCTAAGAGTAGGTTCTATTTTCTTTGATTTCTCCATCTTTGCTGCTGCTTTTTGGTCGACGGCTGCTTGTTCGGCTGTTCATGCCGAATCGTTTCATATGCATGGTTTTGCGTGCGTGCGTTGTGAACGAAATAGTTTTCTTCTTGGTTTTGTTTTTTAAATGTTCGTATTGCGAGCATGTCAGTTCAAGTGCAGTTCGATACACGCAGAGAGAGGAAGAGAGAGACAGAGCCTGTGAGTTGCTGCTGATGTGTCAATACATGTGGTAGTTTTGTTTCGGATTTTCTTGATTTTTTTTCGGTATTTAAAATAGAATTTTTTCTACGCGCATACGAATGCGTTTGTATCTCGGTTTGCACTTCAACTACTACAATGCCTTGCACTCGTGTCAAAAAGAAATGTTATTTTTTTTTTTGGGTCTGTTGTATATTGTTCGAGTGAATCATACGTTTACGTCACGTGTGTGTTTTATGTGTAAACTATGACAACGAAACTAATGCGGATATTTGTGTTTCACTTTATTTGGACCTCACCATACGCCATGGCTTTTGAATATGCCACCTCAATTCCGATCGATGCCCATAACTGGCATTAAACGTGCGTCAAATATTTGTATATTAAATGTTGGTCGAGATAACCAAATTATAAATACGAAAAAAAAGATTTTAAAGACGTTTTCTATTTAATTAACGACGATTAGAGGCTTATCAATTTACTTACTTGAAATATGTGGGGCTATTAAACGGTTTTTGACCAATGTCGATCCACGACGTTCAGACTATTCTCGATGAATGTTCTACGGAATTTGAATTTGTGCGTCGCATCCCACAAACAACGATTATGTCTTTGATCTCTCTGTCTTTACACCGTAATTTTTGATAAAGAAAAATTTGCAAGTCGATTGGCAATGACTTTACTCAAAACAACACGCATATCGTCGCTTCGTATGAAACTTATCGATACTGAAGAAATTTATCTCTTCGACAGTTTTTCTTCTTCTTTCTTTATCGTTGAAACGTTTTTTTTTGCCACCGAATAAAAACAAATAGAGAAAATGGAACGGAACACCTCAATGAATCATGGAGAAAAAATTCTTTGACAATAATTCCGCTCGATTTTGATCTCAATAAAAGAAATTTATACGCACGCACAAATGTTTTTTTTTTTCTTCTTTCGATAAAATACGTTTATTTGCGACAACGAGTTATGTCTATTGCTCTTCTTCTTCTTCGTTTTATTTTTTTTCTCTTCTCGTCGGATTGCTCGTTTCTCTGGCTAAATGTAAAAACCTCTTTTTAAAACTCAGAAGTCAATTTGAATTGAAACAGCTTGACAGACACAATGGAAAGAAAAATAAAATGCAACTGAATTTTATAACAATAAACACAAACGCTCAGAAACGAAAACGAACACAAAACGATGTGAGGCAATTGAGTCTGGTGTGTGTCAGCTGTGTTGAAGGCACAAACATAAACTGAATGCTATTTCCAGCGATTGTGTTGATTTTGATCGAACGAAACGAGAAATGTGGATTATGGTGCGGTGTTCTTCAACGGCTGGTTATGTATGTGTGCGGGCACTAATGACTTGAAAACGGCACAAACCAGCATTCCACTACACACATACACGGTGTGTGTGTGTGTTTTTGTTTTTAACAACCGTATCCCAGAGATACGTTAAGTACACAATGTGTCAGTGCGTTAAGTATTTTCAACGGATTACACACCGTGTATTTGTTTGAATATTTTGACGTTGATTCAATGAAATGAGTTTGGAAAACTGACATTTTTTTACGTTTTTTTTTTGAGTCGCTTTTCAGATTTTCAATGCAAAGTCTTGAACATTTGAAATATCTCTAAATTCCACAAAGATGTTTGAATTCAAATTGATTGAAATTGAACGAACCCGTTTGACCAGAACGTTTCCGTTGTGATGTGTTGAAAGTGCGCGCTTTTTGAGTAAATGTCAAATTGATGGAGCCAGAGAAAAAAACATTGTTTACGTCGCCGTCTTGAAATATAAGAAAAAAGAGACACTGTTCAAGCCTTTCTAGATAGATGTTCAGCAAAAGTGCTTATGAAGTGTGGAAAGAGGAGAAAGAGGCTGGCGTTATTATCACACTATGCAGAGAAATGGATGATGCAATTGGTGGTGGCATTCGCATCCGGTTGATCACTGAATTCGTCGGTGGACCGGGAACGGGAAAAACTCAGTTTTGGTAAGAAGACGCTCATCAATCGATTTAATCCTATCCAAATTCAAATTTTGGACAACCAATAGAATTAAAAATGTATTTCGTTTTTAAGCTTACAGCTATGTGTTAATGTCCAAATACCGAAATGTTTGCAAGGATTAGAAGCGGCCGCTGTTTATATCGATACGAACCGTGGATTTTCTATTAATAGAATCAAAGGTAACGCAAATTCATATTTATGTAAACATATTTGAAAAAAAAAAAAACGATTTTAAAAACGTCATTAAAAGCTTGTTCTAATATTTCACCCATTAGAAATTGCTTCGGCCACACAAGCACACTGTGATCGTGTTTATCGAATGGAAAAATCTGCAGCTGAGCCAAATTCATTCACCGTTGATTCGATTCTCGCCAATATCCACTGTACTTTTTGCAATAATTACATTCAGCTTTTGGCAACAATTTATAGATTAGACGCTTTTCTCGCGAATAATCCCAAGGTTACAAGAGAAACACAGAATTACTCTCTGCGCAAAAATGCTCTAACAAAATTGCATTTCTAGGTTCAATTAATCGTAATCGACTCGTTTTCATATCTATTTCGGTCAATTGATGAAAATGTCAACCTAGTACAAACAACCTATGAAGCCTTATCTGAATTGCAAAAACTTGCCGATAAATATCGATGCGCGGTAATTTTTTATTGCATTATTATCTATGTCGAACAGTTTATCGCTGATGAGTCATGGCACTGATGGAAACTTGATGTGCATAATGGTTTATATTCAGGTGGTGATAACGAATGAGCTCACGACCCGAGTTATACCCGACGGACCATCATGCATCGTTCCAGCTTTAGGCGAAAGCCATTCGCATCGTGTTAATGTTCAACTCACTTTTGGGCGCGATGAAGACGATCGCCGGCTGTTCGTAGCGAACATCGATAAGTGTTTCACGAAATGCGAGCAGAAGGTGGCATTTCAAGTAAGACAAACGTTTGAAATTAAGCAAATATTTCAATAGAATGATAGCATTTTCTCTTTCTTCCGAATTATCAAGATTACCAAGGATGGGCTGCGACCATATAAACTAAAATCAAAATTGCCGGATTAAGCTGAATCCCGCCCATAAAACTTACCCATTACAATCTCAACCGTGCCATTATATCTCATAAGCAATTTGCGTGCAAAACCTATTTCCATAAAATAGTAAAACCATAAAGAAAACCAACCAATCGCATTTTAGTCAGAATTTCAGACAGTTTATTTTTCAATTCAGAACAATCACAATTAATGCAGTAAAATTCATAAGATCTCTAGTAATAATTTTTATCAGAAACAACATCAATAAAATGAAACAGATTCGTTCTTCTCAAAGGCATGTTATTTTAATAAAATTCAATGTTTGCACAGCAGTTGCTCGAATGTAGGAAATGAGTGTTGACTTTCGATGTTGTTTTTTGGTCGTTTTTGGAGTATAAAAATGAAATTTGATCCAAAAGTGTTTTTCAATTGAAAATTTTCAACATTTCTCATTTTTTTCGAGCGTCTGTTGCACTATCAAATTCGTTGTGCTTGAAATGTGAAACAACGGCACATTTTAACAAATTTTTTAAATATTATTCATCTTTCTCAACTATGGCTGCTCGAAATGAGTGCAAAAATGTAACGTGCTACACTAATTTGTTCTTTTAGAAAAAAATGTAATGATTTGATTAGATATCGAAGCTAATGTGAGTCACAATCAAATGGTGAAAAAAAAATAATGTGAGTTGTAGCCTTTTTCTCATTTAAAATGTGAAAATGCTTTAATTTTCTGCTAATGCAACCAATACGTCGCGATAATCGCCGGAGAGGTCATCCTGAAATGTATTGAAAAAGTTTCCAAGAGAAGAAAAAATTGATCACAAAATAATCTCAAGCATGGTTTGAATTAATTAATGTTTTAAATTAAAATTTTGAAGAAAAAAATTGTATACAACAGCACAGCACGCATGCATGTCAAAGTTCAAATGTAGGCCACCAATTCAATGATTGAATTTTCCAAACAAAATGTATAAGAGTGTGTACAAAGAAAAATTTATGAGTATTAAACCGTGCAAAAAACTAAAATTCTACATGTAAAAATAATAAAATCACTTAAGAGATAAATAAAACAGTATTGTTTTTAGTGCCAAATATGAAAATGGCGAGACAGCAGCCCCGATCATTCGACGGAAGGAAGCATTTGATTTCAGATATTTTTCTTTTCTTAATAGCAAACCAGATGAACCAAAACTGATGCAACTTCGCCACCGATATCATCCTGTAATAAACAAATTCCGAACAATGAAGAACATTTCCGATCTTATTTAGTATTTTATCGAATAGATAAATTCGAATTCAATTCATGCAAGCCCAAAAAAAATGAATTTCGTGTTAGTTTGTGTTCAGAATTTTGAAATTGCCAAAGCGAAAAGAAAAAAAAAACAAATTATTAGTTGAACTAGTTGTAAAATTGGAGCACTACAATATTGGTTTACAATTTCAAAAATTAGCTTCTTCTTTCTAAGTATTGTTTTGCTTTCTAGTTTCAGAATTAAATGATTGTATTCACAAAGAAAAAATTAATTGGTGATTTTGCTGCTTAACTTTATCCGAGTACTATACACATTTGGAATGTTATTTGACGAGATGGAAACAACGTCTTAGTAGGTCGAAAGCATTTCAAGCACATATTTGTACTCGACTGCTAATTCGTCCTGCAAATTTCACAAATTCACAAAAAAAACACACATCATAAAAATAGAAAAAGAGAAAAATAAAAATCAAAATTCAAAAATTAATTCAGTTGCAAATTGCAATGGTAATTTTAACAAAAAAGAATTTTTGGTGCTGGAATAAAAGAAGCTGTGCAGAGTTAGTTCAATGTTCATGCAAAATCTTCGAAATTTAAAGAGATCATTAGTTCGTTATTTCGGAAAACTCATTGGGAAATATGTAATTATGATCGTTTCATGCGGACATACCGAAATTCATGCTGAATGTAATTAAACGAACTCATTTTGCCGTATGTGATCAATTGCGTTAAAGCAGCGGCGGCTTATTTCGTTAGCCAGTTGTAAGTGAGAGAAGAATAAATACGCATATACAAAAAAAGACGCACATATGAAAAAAAAACGGGCGAATGTACGAATGTACGATGAAGCACAAATGACCGAAAATGAGAGTGGGATTGTGTCTGTATTTGATCCGGCACTCGTCACAATTGAGTTTGTTGTTGTTTCTCGCTTGAAAAAAAAAACCACAACATAGGTCTAGCGGTGTTTTTGATATCGCCGCGCTTAGAAACATGAGCGTGTATTGGTGCTGGCCAACTTGATGACCTTGAGTGCTTATTTTGTGTTCGTTATTTTCGTGTGAATTTTAGCATTTGAAAAGCCGTTCCATAACTGAACTGTTCAATTAAGACTTGAATGGGCCATTAAATGAGCCGATCATAAAATTGTTTGCATGTTCGTTTTTTTTCTCTTCTCATTTCTTGTTCGCTTTAACACAATTATCCTCCATACGAATTAAATGCTATAGCATAGAAACAAAAAAAAATTCAACCCAAACTGAGTGAATTTCGTCTCAATTTGTATTTTAAAATATATTTCCATATCGATTTTTAACAATAGTTTTCTTTAAAAAATAACAATATTTGCTGTATTTAAAGTGTACATTAAAATATCGGTAGAAAATCTAATGCAATGTTATGTAATGCTTTAAAAAGAAATGTCCAGAGAAAATAGAGTTGGTGCGATAAAAGCAATCGGGTGCATTGATCTAATGAAAAAAAAACTAGATATATCGAGGGTGTTGTTTCCGAGCTCCTTGAATTTTGACTAAAATCAACCATTAAAAATACGATGCGAATGCATGTATGTTTCGACATTCACATCATACTTTAATTCAAAGCTGAGCTCTGAACAAACATATGATAAATTAAAAAGGAAAATGAATCGATTGTCTTGATGCGTGTATGTGATTCGTTTTGCATTCGCTTAAGTAATCATGTTTAATATCCTCCAACAATAGCCAACAGGGCCCTCTTATAATCTCCAGATGTGTCACCCTGCAGGATGAGATACGAGTTGGCGATGACGATTTTGGTTTTTGAAAAATAAAAATTTCGTTTTTAAAATTATTTCACAGTAATGAACAGAAAAAAAACTAAAATCCAAAATAAACTATGCTACTATTTATATTGATCGAACTATAAAAAAGCAAAAAAAAATTATGCACATTGGATGCAGTTGACCAAGTGCCTACGATTTCCCTATCGCCTACGATTTTCAATAGAGCTTCCAATTGAATTGGGTATTTACATATTTATAAGTCAGTAGGAAACGACTACTTCGTGATGAACTACTAAGACATATGCAATATTCATGCGTTAAAAGATTGATTTTTTCCAACATTCTACTTGACGACATTTGACATGCACGTTGCACATTTCGAAACGAGACAAATAGAGATAGACAAGAACTACCCAAAAGCAAAATGTTCAGAAACCCAATTACCAAAGAAGTTACTTTTTGAATAAATAGAAAGAGTTTCGTAATTTTCATGCTGCTGCTAGCATCAACCTACCTTGATCCATGACTCTAGGCTCTTGCCATACTTGTTTTCAAAGGCGATTTTGATGTCACCCAAATCAATTTCCGAACGGCTAACAATGATTCGGATCAAAGTTTTGTCGTTGGTGCCCATGCCGGCCATGGCATCGTGCAAGCGCTCAGCAAAGAAATCGACTTTCGATTTCACACATTTGGCTGAAAAAATGAAGATGAAATCACTTGAACATCAATCAAAATTTTTATAAGCGAGAAAAATGAGACGAAAAAGTTGAATAATGTACCGATGGCCAAAAATCCCTTTTTGACGTCACCGCTAAATTCGCGCTTGATGGCATCTTCGATGCTGTTTTGGCTGATGTTTTCGTATTCTTGGAAAATTTGGCGCAATTGAGAGTATGATCGGGTGACCAAAATTGAGTTGAACACAGATTCATCCGTGCCCCATTGACCTTCACCGGCATTATGGAGAGCTTCTGCATCTCGAATAGCGGCGGCTTCGTCGATGGTTTGGTCTTCGTTACGATTTCCTTGCACCAATGAAACGCAAAGGCGTTTGAAGTGACCGCTGGCAAGTGTTTTTATTACGGTTAGTCTCGCGCGTTACCGATGATATTGATGATTAATTCCGATTAGAATTGTTGGACTTACCTGGTGTCACCTTTCAAATCGTCTTCCAAACTGCGTCCATAGTCACGCTGATAGAATTCAGAAATCGTTTTAATACCATAGTTCGATAACGTGGCCAAAATTTCGATGATGGCTTCTTCGTCCGAACCCAATCCGCTAACGGCGTCATTCAATTCCTTGGCATAGTATTGGGGAAGTGGTGTCATCAATGCAAGAATCACATCTTCGAATTTACCGCCCAATTCGGATTTGAGCTCCTTAATCAAGTCTTTGCCGTATGCAGTTTTGAAAGCGTCAGCAATTTCGATACGTTGTACAATGCCACGGCGAGCAAGAATCTCAATAATTGCCTTTTCGTCGGTTCCGAAACCTTTCATGGCCGTACGCAATGTAGCAGCATCTTGGTTTGGTTCGAACGGATCAGCTGGGTAAACGGTTGGTGTGCACTATATTGGGCCAAGGAGAAGAAGAAGAAGAGTAAATCAACGACATTTAAAAAAAATAAGATTTTTCTCTCTATTTCACTTTGTGAAGGTCGTACTCCATTTCCATTCCATCACAAATATTTTCCCATTTTATTTGCCATTTAATGGTGGCACGACGCCGGCTTGACTCTCGTCAGCAGCACACTTTTTCTCTATATACATCTTAACATTTTCCGTTTCATATGCGGAATGAAACTGAGATGAGTTTGAGATATATCAATTTTCTTTCTTATCCATCACCAAACACAACGAAATGGTTTTATTTGTTGCCTGGAGCGTGTTCTATTTGCAAAGTGTATATACATCATCAATGTTTATGCCCACAACGATGATGCTCCACTATCTACCTCATGTCTAATGCTGTACCATATAGTTTTCGGCGAGTCTAATCGAATAAAAAGATATTTTATGGCATGACATCGATTTCGTTGATGTCAGAAACGAAACCATTCCCCATACATACTCGGTAGTGTTCTGTTTGCTATATTGGACCGTACTTTTTATGATGTACTAATCAGAAACGAAATGGTGTATTCAATTATGCCACATCATTTCAAAGGAATTTATCTGAAGTTGATGCAAAGTCGGCGATTTATCACAATACAAAGGCCAAAAATGGAACAAAAAATAACACAGCCAATTCAATGTCATTTCAGCGACGAAAATAGCTTTGAAATATATTCCAGAGTCATGCTCTCATAATTCACTGGATTAAATAGCCAATTTTAAAGTTGAGCTTTGGTTAAATACGAATGCCTTATTGTCTTTAGAATTTTATTCCTTGAATGACCGGTATTATTCTAGCTCATCACAAAAACACGCTGACCATATCTGATGAATGAATCGAGTTTAAAAAATCAGTGATACGAGCAGCGTATACAGTGTGAGCTATTGTGTGAATATGAGTGTATTTGTTACTTTTTTTTCTCGATTTAATCATCCAGTCATCAATTGTGAATGTCGCTTGGGCGATTATGCTTTTTCTCCGAACTCAACGCCGCTTGCGATGATGTAATGGTTTCACATATACATATAACAAACGACATGACCGCTGATGAGATCATCTTTCCTTGTTGCCTATCCAAACCCGATAAAAACTTAAAATTCCAACAACACACACTCTGTTTTTTTGGGTACTACACAAAATTATTCCGCTGGTGTCGAATGCAATTCGGATATGACCGATCGAACAAAATCGAATGAAGAAATGATTTTTGGCCAACTTGCAATTCTAATCAAAGGACAATTTGCTATTCACCTATTCACTGCGACGAACATTTTGAATAAATATAAGCGTATTAAAGACGGACTTTTAGAACGAAGTCACACTGATAAGAAAATCCAAGAATATAATCTACGAAATGAACGTCGACTCAAACAATTGTGACTAATTTGAAATGTTGGGCCGACGAAAAAAAAAATTAATTTTATTGCAAAATTTGGAATCAAACCTTCTTCCACATTTCAAATGGATTTAAAAATTGCGATGAGACGAGTGTATAAAAAAATAAAATGACTATGGTAAACCAAGTTTGGGTTGTTTTTTTTTTCTATGAAAACGCTGGATTTCTTGCAGGAAATCGAAAGAGCAGTGCAGAATGCTTTTGATCGTCGCAAAGTTCACAGTAAGACTGAAGCTGATACTTGGAAACACACAGAGCGAGTAAACCAGTCGAAATTCAGTATGAATAAGTCAGTAAAGTAACGATATTTTTTTTTACTGTGCCCAAATACATACAATATCAACCACTCATCGCATATACATATACTAACTATATCAAATGCCATGGTTTTGAGCCACACAACATCCTTGTCAAACGCTGTCGATTTTCACATACACACACTTCTTTCCCACTACCGCCGCGATGGATTTGTTTTTGTTTCTTTTCCATGTGTTATTTGTTATTCGCCACCGTGTATGCCATCAAATTCTATCGATAATATGATGTGTTTGGTTGTTTATACAACAATAGCAGCAGCAGCACGCTTCGTTTGCGGTGGTTCTTCTTCGTATTCGTTTCACACATTTATAACACGGATTTTGTTATTTTATTACCACTTAGTCTGATTTTTTTGTGTCGCTATTCGGCTGCATTTCTATATACTTGACGCGAACTATACAAGAAATGACTTACTCGAAGACTGTTGATTACGTGCTTTTATTAAATGAACATTTACACATAACTTTCGGTGCGACAACAATCTTCATGCGAACGACTGTTATTTAGTATCAACAATATCATTTACTTCGGCCAAGTTATTCCATAAGGAAGAAAAATATTCAAATACTATTTATGACGCGCTTTTATTGTGTTGTGTGGCATAATTTCGATCCAAAAAAATGGCAAACTTTTCCACTAAATTTGATGGGAAATCTACAGCAACAATTCCTTTCTACACACCTTACCGTACACATGCTAGGCACAATAGCACAAATATCACACCCGGAAATTCTCCGTTCAGGATCAACATTTTCCAAAGTTGTGTGACGGAACAAACGGAACAAGCAACTGTGTGTTACAAATAACAGTTTCGCCTTTCGACTACAAATTTAAATTGTTTTTAACTGATCAACTATCAACGCTTGAGAAACGAGGCGCTTTATCAGTAAAACAATTTTTCAGACGGCGGCGTATGTAAGAATTCAAAAGAAATTCATAATAATGCACAAACACTGAGTTCATGTACTGCTAGCCGTGCTATCAAGAGTCATGGAAACAGATTGCAATTATACAAAGGAAATTCTGAGTTATCACAATACTTTCCCAAAGTCTAAAAAGACGAACACAAACAAGTAAATAATATTCTTTTCGATTACATTGTCGCTGATGTCAACACATCTAACCTTAGATTTTAAACAAACGGCAAAATCAATGGGAAAATATTATTTTAGGTTTCTATCAATAGAGAGCGTAGAGAGAGATAATACGTTTTTGTCACGAATATACACGGAACACACATTTCACATACGCTGCCGCGTACATATGCAGCGTTAAAACAATATGTTTGATTAGCGCATTTCATTCAATCAACATCAATCGTTGTCGTCATTTTTTTCGCCCGTTTGCATCGCATCGGATTTCTAGGTGCTACGCCTATTACAAAACAAATTTGACTTTAGAGTTGTTTGGTCGCTGGCAACATTGCATGCCACACGGAAGTTTCAGTTCTTTTTTTTTTGTTCCATCAAATGGTTTATTTATTGGAGAATAGAAACGTGTTGCGTGCGCGATAATGTGTGATGGGTAAGATACATATATGTGGAATTGCCATAGAGCCATAGAATATTTTTCTGGTTTTCCTTTCAATGCTGTGCTTATTTCACAGAGCACAATTTGTCACCGTTGGGTTTTAATGACGATGACGAAGATATGGGTTGGTAAAAGATGACTTCATAGCTGCTTATGAATTATTTAAAGTGGCCAATGTTCGCGGTCTCAGCTCACACCTTACCATATTTTTTTTTGGCAAATAAACCAGTTTTCCACTGCCACGCTATTTTTACGTTCAACTATTTCTGAATATCCGTTTTTTACTTGCTTATCAACATGAACTGAGAAACCTATCTGTATATAGTTTTGTTTGAGTGTTGAAGTTTTGACAAAAAAGAAGCGATATGAAAATTGTTCCGATTGTAATTTCACGGCACGTTTCAACCATTTCAAATGGCAAATCAATAATAATGGAAGATAAATCGATGGTCGAAATCCTTGAGCTCTATACCATATGATTTGGTTTGAATATACAATTTAATGATTTGTACTTTAAAAGGAAAATTGTGATGGATCGCAAAGAACGATATTTTGTAAAAAAAAAACGAATTATGCCAGAGTTGCAATGAACCTTACCTGGAATGGGTAGTACTTTGGTGAGTCGCTCATGTTGACGCTTTTTTTTATATATATCTGAAATGAAAAAAATTGAACGAATCAATAATCGAACGGAACATGTGTTTATATATGGAATAATAATTGGATTTGTTGTGTGCAGGGTTTGAGCTTTGAGGTTGTTTGTGATTGGATGTAAACGTCGTTTGAACTTTATCAAGTACTTGAACAAATAAAGGACGTATTCTGTTTTGATGGGTCGGTTGTGAATTATTTCTAACGTCAAAACCAACATATATCCTTGACAAGGACATGGGAACTAGAACACTTGCGGCGAATACAAATGCATGCTAAGTTCATTTAATATTCCAAAATGATCGCTCTTTGTTTGGATGTAATACGTTTTTCCCTTCTACTAGATTACTATGCCGAGTCGATTCAACAGTGACAAAGACTTTGATTTGTATCATAATCACTTTGACAATAATAAAATTACTCGGTATAATTGCCCGCAGAACCACAAACAATGTGCTACAGTGATTTGTTTATAAACGATGACAGCATCAAATTCCAATGTAATGTCAATCTCGACAAATTTTCCAATTCCAGCCATCATCCAATTTGTCGAAGTCGTTACGTATTTAATGAGTCATGTTTGTGGGCAAAAAACAATTGATTCATTCAAAAAAAATTGATTCAGCGTGACGGAACATCAGTCACTGGTGCAATGAATGTGATGAAAAATTTAAATGACTAACAACGTCATCCACGTAGATTTGATGAGCCAAGCAAAGCACAAACAAGTTTCATCGTCATCGATGACGATTTTTTCTGAATATTCGCAAAGCGCAAGTTGAAACTAGTTTCGATGCGTATCAATCACACGTTTGTCGATGATGAAGTTGGACTTTGGTTGCAATCAAGTTTTTTGTCACTTGAATTAAATTCAATGAATTTTTCATTCGATCATGAATTGGTTTGCTACTGAAAGTGGCTGAATAAAGAAATGAAGAATGAGTCATTTATCTTCATGCCAATGTTCAATTAGGAAAAAAACTAATGAAGACGTCGTTACTACCGTAAACATCATATAAATAATTATTTATTTACATTCGTACAGCAATTAGACACACCAACTCGTAGCGAAGTAAAATAAATATTTTGTTAGTCAAACAAAAGGTAATACGACGATAAAACGACAGATTTTCCAAACAAATCGAAAAGAAATAGTCATAAAAATCAATATTTCTGATTATTATCGGTACTATTTCTATTTGATTGTAGCAGAAAATGGAATTTATGGTTCATATTCCCCTTATAATTTCATTAAATCGCCATGCATTCAATGTACTACAATTATGCCATATCTGATGAATCGACGTCGATTATGAAAGTGTTCGCTTGAAATAATAACCGACACATCTAGTTGGAATTTAATAATTCAATACCATATTCATTGTAAATGAATGAACGGATGAGGCGCAACGGATAAAACCAATGGAATTTACACTATTATTGCTACTAATGTTCAATTCGATTCATTCATAGATTTTGCTGGAATTTTGCGATTGAAGATAGAAATGAATAACTCTAGGCTGTTCAGTGTTCATGGATTTATCACTGGCAAATATACATTAACAAGTCATTTCATCGAATCAATAATCCATAAACTAATAAATTCTTCGAAATTGTGACGACAGCAAAATTCCAATAAAAGTGTGTAAAACTTCATAAAAGGTTTCGGTGAAACTTCATCTGTGTGATTGATTTGAGCAATGAAACTTTTCGAATATAATAACAATCACGAGAATTTTCGGCCATAGAGACACACTTTGCAGTGGCACATTTCATGCGAACAAATATTCTCAGATCAGCATTCACATCACGCATGAGAGAATGTTGAAATTACTTTTCCAACCGCAAGCAAATGCGTATCAAGTGGAAGCGCCTGAAAACTTAGACATGACATTATAATTCATCTTCGCAACTCGGTTTCAATATAAATACGTCATAAGACTCATACAATCAAATTCTGTAAATTTTCGTCACACACACTCATAGTCAGTCTCAAGCGGCAGAGCTGAGCTACAGATAGACACACAAAGCAAAAACAATTACGAGTAGAAAAATGAATACCGAGTAACGACAGTCGCACACTGTGTACAAACAATGTTTTATTTTTTCATATTTGGAATGAGAAGTTGATTATGACTCTGGCAATGTTGTTTGTGTTGTGCTTTTTGCCATTGTCTTATTTTCGCACCTTGATTTTGTAAATGCGATAATGGAGAAACAAAAATGGTGTGTTTGTTTCGGTAAATGGCAAACATATGCCACGAACATTTTATTCCTCGCTTCGTCGTGTCTTGAGAACAGAACAATCGGAGTTTTTTTTTCTCATTAATTCGGTCATGCCAACATATATTCACAATGAGAGAATGAATTAATTTAAAAGAAAAAAAAAAGAATTGGATACGAATGGAAGAAGTGCGCAATAAATCAATGTTGTGTTGATGGAGATGCTGATGGAAAAATACAATAATGATGCGGGCAAGAATTCGAATAACGGTCTGCAGCGTCAGCATTCTTCATATACGCACCAGAATAACATGACGTGGAAGCCACACGAAAAAGAATATTAAGATTATACATAAAGAATTAGACAAAAAGTGATGAAAGATGTGTTATTTCCAGGCTTATCCGACTTGTTCTCAGTTTGTGATCAGCTCAAATTGATTTTAAACTCAATTGCTAATCTTGCTTCGTCTCACTCTCGGTACGAACATTGCAAATGAATTACGTCATTGCAAAGTTTTAAGCGAGTTGTTTTTTTTCGCTCACTCTCTGTCATGTTTACAGGCACATAGATGACGAACGCATAAAGTTTTGCACTGAAGCATACACAATCTTAAATGCGTTGGCAACAATTCAGTGTACAACGTCACCATTTTCCAGTTTAATTAACTTTCTTTTTACTTTGGAATGTTGGAAATTCAATTTTGCGACTTTTCTCTCTGACAAATGAACCAATTTATCCATTTTTATCATCAAATGAAGAATAAGAAATTCACTTAATTTGAAAGCCGTTTGATTTGTAGATATGAAAAGAAACGGCTTCGAGCATTTAATTAGAGACAAAAAAAACGGTTCTAATTGCGATTGAGCGTTTTCACATCCAATTTAAACAAATGCCAGCGTGACGAATTTAATTGAAATTGTAGTGGATTGTTTAGAAAAAGGCTAAAAATAATACTTTTGCTTACTTAATAAATGGAAATTCTATCGGAATTATTGACACACCCAAGGTTCGTTCTTGTCACACACGAAAAAAAAAACTTGAACACTTTTGCACAAAAAGCTGAACTAAGAATTCAACGAATTATTCTTATTAGCACGAGATACTGTGTTTCAATGGACACACACTAACGCAAAAGAAGTTTGTGTTTGAAATTTTTTTTCTTTTTTTACTTTTTCGTTCGAATACAATGAACTAAAAATGAAACACACTTCGGAATAAGCGATTCGGAATGCGATGCCGGCGAGATTCAATACTGAACTGAAAGCCGACCGAGTAAGTTAGCTGTCTTTTTAGCCGAACGACCGTCATGCGACGGACGGTGAATTGCTGTTATTGTTGTTGTTGCTATTATTGCAGCAGTCACCATAACACACTCACAACTCCACCATACGATATACACACAAATAGAAACGGACGACCTACCGATTATCAACACACGTTGAACCGATGGTATGTATTGGAACGATGTGGATGTGTGTCGCTCGGTAAGCGGTACAACATGAATCGTATGGTAATTGCAAATTGTCTTCGTCAATCTGTGATTCAATTATGTGTCATGTGTTTCCGTGGTATTCAATTTATCAGACAGTCCTCTTCAACGGCAGAAAAGTGGAAGTTGCTAATTCATCGAATGACAAATTGATTTCAATTTACTGAGAAGAACATGTGAATGAGATAATCTAGAAGAATTTTTTGTAGTACACAAATTTTCGCTTTTATTGGGCTAGTAAACAACATTAGTCACTTGATACGAAAAACTAACTAACTCATTCTTAATGGTCTAAACGAATTCGGTTTTGAACACTTTTTTGTCATTATTTCTAAGTCATCGTTTTTATACGCTATTTCCTTCCTTTGCGTGCTTTGGATTTGAGTTTTCGCAGCATGGTCAAGTAGAGTCTGTCCATTCCCCGTTGCATTGACCATTTTATCACAGTTTCCAAACATCGATATGCTTCGTTGTCGTCAACAAATTCCTCCTCCGTAATCTCAGCCTTTGGTTTTATCGTGCATGTGATCTGTTGTGCAAAATTCGGCTTACAATCCGGTGTCGTTTCAATCAAATATTCAATTGTTTCACACTCCAGTGCGTCGTCTGTGTTGACTGTCTTACGTTTGCGTGGTTCAGTATTTTTATTACCGCTCAGGCGACCGATACCGAAACGTTTTTTGAAATTTTTTATCCAACCTGTGCTTGCCGAAAACGTGTAGTTATTCTCTTGGAATTCAGCGTAGAAAATTTGGGCTTGGCTACGTAACATTGCCGTTGAAACGTCTACATTCTGATTGCTTTGCTCTACATACCATTTATATAGCGCTTGTTCCATTTTCGGATGAAACGTTCCCCGCAACGTTCTTCGATCAGTATTATTTGGATATATCGATGTAATCGCCATGTGAATGGTTTCTTTTCGCTTTTTAAATCTTGATATTGTCGATTTTGATATGCCATATTCTGAAGCCAAGTTTGTCGCAGACTCTCCCTGATCCAGTCGCTCCAAAATTTCCGCTTTGTCTTTCAACGATAGAAAATTATTCTTTCGACTTTCGTCGATTATCACCTCACTCTCGTCAATCATGTCTGTACAATTTGCTGGCTACACAGAACTCTGATTAAACTGTGGAAAATACAATTTAATCTCAACAGCTCAGATGGAATAATGTTGTTGTTTTGGTTGCTATCGAACCAAAAAAAATACAATCCATTGACATTTGATGAAATGTCAACGTACGAGAATGCGAACGTTCAATGTTCTCTGCTGTATATACGAAAGAAATGAATGTAAACAGAGTATTAATGAATGAAAACAGAGTATTTTGATTCAGATTTTATTTATTTTCCAGAAAATTATTTTTTTTTACTTAAAAACTACTCTTTTTAAATTATAGCTTCTATTTACTAACATATTTCACTTTGGGGCTCATTTTTATTTGATTTTTCAAGCTTCGTAACATTGTTAAATACAGAGAATCAATAGTGTTTTCGGTTGACCATCGAATCACAGTGTCGATGCATCGCATTGCATCTTTTCTATCCACATTTTGCGTTTCAGTTTGGCTAACATTATGTGAGACTGTATGACTGCTATGTTTACTGGTTTTCAGATGATCGTCACTTGATTTTGTAGCTTCAAAAAGAGTTGGTTTCTCATTCGATTGGGAGGAGCTATGTGCCAATTTGATGCCATATCGTCGCTTGAATTTGGTCAGCCAGCCAACACTAGCACAAAAACTGTAATTACTCTCTTCGAATGTGTCGTAAAAGAACTGCGCCTTCTCTCTGAGCATTGATCCAGTCACTTCAACATTTTGCTGACGTTGCTTCTTATACCATTCATAGAGAGCTGCTTCGGTTTTCTTGTAAAATGTACCGCGCATCGTTCTTCGGTCGGTATTGTTTGGGAATATGGTTGTCACTGCGTTTTGTATTGTTTCTTTCCGCTTTTTGAAACGTGAAATTGTCGATTTCGATATGCCATATTGACGAGCCAAATTTGTTGCCAATGCCCCTTCATCCAGACGCTGCAAAATTTCTGCCTTGTCCTTCAGCGATAAAAAGTTATTTTTTCGAAATGCATCAGCGGTCGATTCACTTTCAACGGTAGTTTCATTTTTTGACTCATCTTGAACTCGACTTGATGAAGAACTCTTCCTATTTGTCTCGCTGTCAGACATTTCACTTTTTTATGAGAAATTTTATTGAGATAAGCAATAATCAGTGGTTTGTTTACGTTTTTATTGAGCGATAGACAAAAAAAATTACCAACTCTGACAGTTCGCAACGACTGTCACTGTCATAACAATGAACGTGCGGGGTTCGTTCAAGGAATCATAGTCATAGACTGTATCATAGAAATCATGTTCTTATTGAAATTTTACTTTGCATTTGGTCTTAAATTGTTAATGATTGTATTAAAACTTATGTTCTAGCTTGATATCGTATGCGTTCTCGTAAGCTCTTGAGCATTGTCAAATACAGCGGTTCGATGTCATTGTCAACACTCCATTGAATCACCTCATCCACGCAATTCATGACTTTTGAGTAATTTTTCCCTTTGTTATTCGACTCGTTCTTTTCCAGAATCAATGGTTCATCTTCCAAATTGCTTACTGTCACAAATGCTGGCTCGTACAAAACATCTTCAGTTTTTACCTCAACATCAGGTTTTGCTTCGTTCGCATCGTCATTGTCGTCATAGTTGAATGCAATGTTATCGGTTGTGTTGCGTTCCCCACGACAGTTTTTGAGTCGAATCCCGTATCTTTTCTTAAATTTTTCCATCCACCCGGGGCTGGCACGAAATTCCAAATCATTTTCGTGGATATTCTTATTCAATTCACGGGCTTTCAGTCTTAGAATGGATCCGGTCACGGGAATACCTTTGTCGCCTTGTTCCACGTACCATTTATGAAGTGCACTCTCCATTTTGGGATGAAATGTTCCTCTGAGTGACCGACGTGATAAGTTATTCTGATACATGGACATTGCCTCTTCAAGGGATGTTTTACACTTTTTCAGCCGCGAAATGGTTGATAGTGCTATCCCATATTCACTTGCAATTCTTATCGGTCGGACACCGTCATTCAATTTGTTGAGAATATCGAGTTTTGTCTTCAATGATAAGAACTGATTGCGTTTATTTTCCTTTTTCCTAGTCGATTCACCGGACTTTTCTATCGGATCATCTTCTTCCATTTTGATCGTTTTTTATTTTGCCAATTGTAAACTGATGAACTCTGTGATTTTTTTGTTTACTTTCTGATCGAACTATTCAACAACATTGGCAAATGACAATTTACTACGACACAAATACAAAATTCAAATGGATACGTTTTATGACCAGTGCACTGAACCTAGGAATATTATATTTTGAAAAAAATTCGTGAAATATTCAACAATTGAATTGAATTTTTTGGGCATTTTTGTATTTTACTCTTGATCCAACAGAAAAGAAAAATGGTGTAAAAATGGAAATAAACTCATTTTTTCATTCAATTTCGTATTACGTTTAATTTTCTTTTTTCAAACAAAACACAATTGCATGTAAAATGATCGATTTCCTATTCTTTAATTACAACTTCGGATAGTTTATTTTTCGGCACATCAACAATTTCGTGCTCTTTAGTGACGACTCCGGTTAACACGGTCGTTTTGCCTTCTCTGATGGTAAACCGTTGTCCAGCGCTAATGATCATTGGCCGAAAGGTGGTCAATCGTGCTGTAGCATGCTCTCCAGGAATTAATATGTTCTTCCCTTCCACTGTTTGGATTGATTCAAGTCAAAATTAATGATTTAAAAAAAAATCGCAAAAAATTGATTGGTAAATCAATTAAATTAATAGAAAAATCTGGAAAAACATATGTTTACTTACAAAAGTCCACTCTGCATGGTGTATTCCACGTTCTACTGAACATTGTATGGGTAAACTTTGAAATAATTGGTTTCGTTCGGCCACCTTCACTTTTTGTGAGCATGTAAATCGATGCATCGAAATGGTTGAGAATTTTCATCGAATTACGTTTGCACAGAACCATGCCGCGACGGACTTCATCTTTTTTGATATCACGAATATTTACACCTATGTTTTCGCCTGCTTTGGCCTATGAAACAAACAATAAATTTCAAAAAAAATTCTAGAATTGAAATGAAATAGTAAAAGCAATACCATTGGAACACTCTCGTTGAAAACGTGTAATTCCTTGACGACGGTCTGTAACTTTTTACCGTAGCCAAGAATGTCGCATTCGTCTTTCTTCTTCAGAACTCCCCGTGACAATGTTCCAACAATAACTGTGCCTCTATTCGGCACATTGAAAATATTGTCGATTGGCAGTAAGAATGGTGCATCCAAATCACGTTTTGGCGTTGGTATATATTTGTCTAAAGCATCTAACAATCGATTAATTGATGGTTCACCATATTCAGATTGGTCTCCATTCAATGCGAGCAACGCTGAGCCATAAATCACGGGCGCCTTTTCACCATCAAAACCATATTCGCATAAAAGTTCCCGCATTTCAATTTCTACCAACTCCAATACATCCAAATCAACTAAATCGGCTTTGTTAATGTACACGATCATATTCTCGACGCCCGTTTGCTTAGCCAACAATAAATGTTCACGTGTTTGCGGCATTTGACCGTCTGTTGCAGCCACCACTATGATTGCTCCATCCATCTGAGATGCACCAGATATCATATTCTGTTGATGGAAAATCGAATTGAACTTTTAGTGTTAGTTGACTAAGACGTTTGGTATTGAAATAACATGCAATGAAAAGAACCTTTATGTAATCAGCATGACCGGGGCAGTCGGTGTGTGCATATGATCTTTTCTCCGTTGAATATCCGACATGGGCTATATTGATTGTTATCCCTAAATGAAAACAACAAATTAAAAATCTTCCACATTCCGTCAATAATCCAATTTTTACCTCTCTTTTGCTCTTCGGGTGCTTTGTCTATCTCTGCATAGTCCACTGAATCAGCTAAACCTTTTTTAGATAGCACCTTTGTAATGGCTGATGTTAACGTAGTCTTGCCGTGATCAACGTGCCCGATGGTTCCAACATTAACATTCACACTGTTTTTTGCATCATTTTTATTCTCATTCGGTGCCGTAGCAAGAGTTCTATGTTTGCACTTGGGAAGAATCCTATTGAATTTTTGAACTAAACTGAGGTTATGTCGTCTTGAAACTATATGCGAAGAAAAGTCTCTACAATGATTGATTCCCGGTTTTACTGCATCAAAACGAAAACAATCATCACTGAATTGCGTACCCAAGCTATGGATAATTCTCCTCGAAACTAGTCGAAGCATTCCACAGAGCTTCTTTTGTGCCGATCCAAAAGGTTTGTTTTGATTGAATTTGACAATTACAATTTGGCATTTCTATGTTCAGTGCTCACTGACAACCGCTCACTTCTATCATGAATTGAACGTACTAAATAAACGTGTGAATAATTTGAAAATATTTCAATCTCGTTTGTAATTTCTGCTCTTTTGAAAGAAAATTTCATGTAATTCTATCTAAAGACAATATTTTTCGAGAGAAAATACCTCAAATTTGGTTCAACTGATTTATTAAAATATTCAAAAATATATATAAAATATGGGTATAATATATGGTTTTGATTTGTTCCAAAAAAAAAACAAATGGAATGTATTCAACTGGAATATAATTTGTGCATATCAAATATTTGATAAACAAGTAATATTAGTTAACACGTTCGGTGTATGCAGTCCACAGTTGGTCACGATATAGTTCTGCTGCTGTGCGAATGTCCTTGGCGTTGAGTATTCCACGACCAACTACGGCAATATCGGCTCCTTTTTCTTTGATAACATATGCCGGTGTGTTGTACTGTTGTCCCAAGTCATCTGTTTTCGTATCAATTTTGCATCCGGGTGTCAATTGCAAAAGACCTGCATCTTGAACTACACCCTTCGTTTGGCAAACAATGCCAGCGACAAAATCAGCGTCTGCCGTGGTCGAAGCGAGTTTCATTGTGCTTTCAGTGTATGATTGTGTGATCAAATTGCCGGCCGAACTGAGTTCAGCCAACAAGAAAACGCCTCGATTGGCTGATGTGCCGCTCAAAGCATTTTTCAATCCTTGCAAAATGCTCGGTCCAGTCAACGAATGAACGGTGACCAAATCTGCCCAATCGGCGATGCTGAAAACACCTGATCCGTACTGCAATAAAACCGTATTTCCGATATCAGCAAATTTACGGTCTTCCATGATCAAGAAATTGTGCTTCTTGGCAAGGGCTTGCAATGAACGAACGAAATCTTCATTGAAGTCATCGATGATGTCAACGTGTGTTTTCAACACACAAATGTATGGGCCAGCGGCATCAGCTGCATTCAAAATATCAACCGATTTATTGGTATCAGCGGCCAAACACAGATTTGTCTTCTTCGATATGCAAATCTGCAGTAAATCCTTTGCGATTGGACTTTTGGTCAGCTCCAATCGAGATTCATAGGTAAGTTTGGTGCGGTCAACCGTTGGTTGCTCATTTTCCTTCACCGGAGTTTGATTGTTTGTAACATAATCCGTGATTTCTTTGACGCACGCATCGTCGATTCGATTGGCTTCACGGAGAATGCCCAAAAATTCTGATATTTTGAACAACGAATGGACACGAACATCATTATGTGTGATATTTGCCGCGCCACCTTGTTGCCGGTCAATCACAACAATCGAGTCATTCACAACGATACCTGACAATTTAAATTAGTTTAATTATTCTTATCTTTGAGAAAATTGAAAATCGAATGACAATACCTTCTGCACGCAAATCGGCCACCGTTTCCAAAATGCTCGACCCTGAGGTAATGATATCTTCAATGATCAGACACGAATCACCTGCGCCATACTTTCCTTCGATCAATTTCTTCGTTCCGTAGGCCTTGGCTTCTTTGCGACGAATCAGCATCGGTTTCTCTTGCTTGATCGAAAGCAACGTTGCAATCGGCAATGCTGTGTAAGGAACTCCGCAAATGTGTTTGTACTCAATCTTTTGCTCGTCGACAAAATTCAACAGCAAAGTCGCCAATAAATCCTAACATCGAAAATGGCATTTAATGTGAAATTCTTTGTTACAGCCACCGTTATCACGGCAACAATCACATACAGGTAATAAAAACACGTGTCGACGGCCGTACTCACCATTACATCGGGATGACTAATGATTACCCGCAAATCGAAGTAAATCGGTGTTTGAAGGCCAGATTTCGTTTGGAAATTTCCAAACTTAATGGCATCGATTTCGTGCAATTTGATTGCGAGTCTTTTTAATGTTTCCTGAGAGTCAGCGACCATGATAACCGTTTTGTTCGACTTGTTATTGTGGAATGTGGTGTAAGCAATTTATTTTTAATTCAAAAAAAACCGACCGAGGTGAAACATACAGCGCAAAAGTGTCTATCAATGACCCTAACCTTACAATTGATATCATATGGATTTGGATATGGAAGTGACAGTGACAACATGCTTCATAACAACATGCATCAGGCAACACACATTCTGCCTGTCATAACAAACAGATAAATGTGCACATCGTTCTCGACCCGGTACATTCACACTTTACGAGTAAATACGGTAATTTTTAATTAATTTTTTTATATTCAAAATGATTTGCAATCCCCGACTGATTCGAAGCATTCACACCAGCTGTGTGCAGTTGAAAAAAGTGCCGAATAAAGCGAAAAGTCACAGTTCACATCAGTGGCTCTCGCGACAGATGACCGACCCATTTGTTGAATTGGCGAAAACGAAGAATTATAGGTGTGTGTGTGTTTTTGGAAAATCCCACAGAAAATATGAAAAATCAGAATTTAGAATTTCTTTTTGTTGATCGATTGATCGTCAAGTGGATAAATTTGCTGTTGTCATTTATTTTTCAGGTGTCGAAGTGCGTTCAAATTGATTGAAATCAATGAACGAGCAAAAATTCTGCAACCCGGCCAAACGGTTATCGACTGTGGAGCTGCACCAGGAAGCTGGACTGAAATTGCCGTGAGTGAAACAAATGCTGATGGAAAACAAAAGAAGAAACCAAAAGGATTTGTGATTGGACTTGATTTACTCACGATTCATCCCATTGAGGTAGGTCTTTGTGTTAGGATCTGGAATCATTTTGTTCAATTCAACCGGGCCTAATCCGGTTGATGGTTTTTCTCATATTCACAGGGTGCACATTTGCTGAGTCATGCGGATTTTACCGATACAAAAACCCAAGATCGAATCAGAGAGCTGCTCAATGGGCGAAAAATCGATTGCGTACTTTCTGACATGGCACCAAATGCAACAGGAGTTCGAACTTTGGATCAAGACAAAATTATGGATTTAGTTCACAGTGTTTTACAGTTTGCTGTTCTCATGTCATCCGAAAATGCCAGTTTGCTCGTTAAAATATGGGACAATGGGAATGTGAAGAAGTTTGAAGAGGTTGCACTGCGTTACTACAAGTCAATAAAACAAATCAAACCTGAAGCTAGTCGAGGCGATTCAGCGGAACGATTTTTGCTAGCCAAAGAATTTCGTGGACTTGAAAATATAACCAAATCCGATTCCACTTAGTTTTTATGTTAACATCAGAGAAAAAAGAGTATTTCGTATTTAATGAAAAAAGAGGAACATGTTCAAGTTTATTCATTGTTTTGTTAAATTGAGATAATAATAAATGTTTTTCATTTGCAAATGAAGTCGTTTGTTTCAATAATTTTTTTTTTTGGTTACACAGAAACAATTCACAAGCAACTGTCAAACTTCTTTGAGTTGTATCGTCATTTTTATGAATTTTGTTCATATTTTTATTTGCGAACAGTTTATCGACATATCGATATGCGTGATATTTGTATGAAAATATCTTTCATTCGTCGGGCTACAGTTTCATTTAAATTTCGCGTGCAAAAATTTTCAGTCAAATTAAAGCGAATCAAAATGATATGTACTGTAAATGCTTTTGAATCGTTTCTGTTTTGATAATGTCAAAATGAAGAATAGAAAAAAAAATCCAATGAAAAAAATGATAGAAAAATGGTTTGGCAACAGTTGGGTTGGCCATGGTGAGCTCTGGCTCTTCAAATTTTGTCTACAAGAAGTAGAGTGTGCGTTCGATGCGTGATGCTACATCACCGGTTGGAGATGATTGCATCGACTGGCTGGCGATGAATGCCAACTTGTGAGCATATTGGCAGAGTGCTGGTACACGAACGGTTCCACTCCAATTATACTGAAATTCAAAGAAAAAAGGCCATTAGGCAAAGAGGCAATGTCACACGATTGATTCCAATGAGAACAAAATGATTGTCAAATGTTGAATTCACAGATAAATACGTACGTAGAAGTAGGTGAAACGGAATGTCAACGCCTGAACTTTGTCAGGTGGAAGACCCATTGTATCGTGGATGATGTTGAATCCTGTCGGTGAGACTGTTCCTTCGCGAACCGATTGTGACACCAAATAAAAGTCATACCTGAAGAAAAAGAAGAGAAAAATGCGTTTGAAAAAATGCGTACACCTCGCCTCACCTCACACACACACACAAAAGAAAACATGCCGAATAAACAAATAAACTTACCGTTCTGGCAATGTGATGATATCATCGACACATGTGCCCGGATCTGGATTCTTGCGATCAAAGAAGATGCGTGTGTTCACACGTTTCGTCACAATCATGTACAGAAACGGTGGCTCTTTCAGATTGTATTGTGCGTAAACGGCCTTGAGCTTTTCCTTCATGGTGGCAACCTCGTTTTCAAGAACGAATCGGATCTGTCCATCGCCAACACCATCACGGAAGAACAAAATCTTTTCCGGCAATGTATTGTTGATTTGCTGGAATTGATTCACAGCCTTGACAATGTTGATTCCCAAGTAGTTGGAAATTTCTTCACCACTCTTGTGACGATTCACTGAACTGAAGAACTCGTTGTTCCTCTTTCGCAAGTCCATTGTTGCGACCATGGCGCCCCACGAATCGTTCTTGTTTTTCGGATCATGGCACACATCGTAACCAACTGTCATAAGACCACTGACCGGCATTGCAATCAACCTAAAATTCAAATTCAAACATTTTCGTTTTATTATTTCGATCTTGCTTTTGTCCTTGTCCAAATCTTACCATGGCAAGCCTCCAAGTTTGGCATTCATTTGAATCGCGACCTTTGTGGCTACGCTCATCAATCCAGAGATGCCTTTGGTTTTATCTTTGGGTGTGATTGTTTTTGCAACCATTACTTGACTTGGCACACCAAAATCCAAGTAGCACCGTTTTTTGATCGTTGCATACCGATCGGCTTGATTGTTCGACACAACGCACATAATCAATTGTGGATTTTGGCCGGCAGCCTGGGCGATTTTTTCCGAAACCGCCGTTTGAATGTCATTTTGCAACTCTTCACTGTGAACATGAATTGAATGTGGTCAAATATAATTTCCAATTGTATTCAAAATTATGTAAAAAATGCTTCAAATGAAGAAAATGCTCAAGAAATGAGCTAAATTCACTTACATGCGTGGATTGCCGATGGTGAAACGCATTCCGTTGCCAGCACGTTGCAGTGCCTTGACAAAATCTTCGGCTTCCTTTCGTGCACGCGAAGGTGTAATCAAATACCAGCGTTTCAAATCGATGCAATGGGCCATCGAATTGTTGCGGAATTCGCCTTGCCAGTCAGCACGGCTGTTGGTATCAGCTCTGGAAAAATGGATTTATTTTTTTTCTCGCATGAAAAAAATTGAGAGAACCGAAAAAAACATGTTTCAATTTCAACATAACAAAAATGAAATGCATACTTTTTATCGTTGCCGAACAGGATTTGTGGATAGGGCAAAATGCGAGCCGGAATTTTCACCAAATTAGGATCCAATCCCAAGCTCCAATCGGTAAGATGTTGTGCACTTTGTTGTTGCAGACGTTGATTGAATGCCAACAAACGATCGATGCGACCGGCTGGTGCAACTTTTGTGTATTGCGCCATTTCGCGCATTGTTCTGCAGAGAAAATGAATTTGAAATGAAATGCCGTGCAAAATTCTATCTGTATGTGAAGAATTTACCTGAAGTTGGATCGCATTTCTTCAGACAAACCTGTTGAATCATGCAAAAATATTGTCATTTTCAAATCATACTCTTTCAATTCAAATTAAATCTATTCATGTGGCTCACCAGTAACGTTGCAGAGCTCTGGAACGAGCAACACTTCAGTCATTCCACCACGTCTATCTCTTTCTTTCAAATTGGAAACCAGCATCGGTTGATTGTGATCACGAATGTCGAGATTGTACTTTTTCTGCAACGAGAAAAGAAAGTAAACACACACACAAAATGCATGAGGTTCCATCGAAATACGTGTATGTACAAATTGTTCAAATCGAATGTTCAAGAAGCAATGAAAACAAAACTCACTTTGTAATACTGGATGTACGACACCTCTTCATCTCGCATTTTGAATGTATCACTTGGTTTGACATCGAATGAAATTTCGTCGATGCGGTATGTTTTGTTGTTGTACCGTGTCAACACAGTCATACCAAGTAAAGCCTTCGTTGCTTCGTTCTTGAACTCACGACTTTCCGTTCGGATTCGTCTCAAAACTTCAAGAACGGTTTCGTCGCGCATGACCTTGTGAGAAATTTCAGCACAAACCAAAATATCTTCTTCATGCTGCCGAATGGAGGTAATGTAACCCGGCCAGATTTGAAGCCGCAAGTTTGGAACTTTGATCTAGATTGAAATCGAATGCATCACATAAATTGACGAATGTTTGACAAAGAATATGAATAATCAAAAGAAAGGAGAAATGCTTACAGCGGCGGCAGCATCGTATTTGTTACGGCCAATCGTTTCCAAATGGAGATCGTCCATTGCGCGACGCAGGATCAAATTCAACACTTGCATTGACTGTGTTTCGTTCATGGACACAATCCGTGCGAGTGTGAACGTAATGGTGTACACGGTGTCATCCACTTCCGGTCGATTTCCACGTGCTGTACGAACAACCGGTGATCCATCCAACGTTCGCACCAAGAACAATTGTGTACCGTCGAACAAATATCCACCAAGCATAGCGTTCTGTGTTCGCACCAAATAGCGACGGAATCGCTCATCGGGAACATCCGGACTGAAGTCAACGCGATACAGATGGATATTCCATTCCGGCTTTTTGGTCAAACGAAAGTAATTGGCTTCACATGTTATCTTTTGACCGGTGGTACCAACTTTCGACAAAATTTCTTTCGGCCGCGTATAGTAGTACGATTCGGGTAACGGTTTTTGTGGCTGGCGGATCGTTCCACGAATATTGTCCGATCGACTTTCTACAAATTCCGAATTTCAAAAGTGATTGCAATGACTGGTTTCTGATGAAAATCAAGCGTACGAGTGGCTGAAACTTACCAGGATACAAAACTCGCTTGGAAGGATCAGAACCGGCTGATGTTGCTGGCAGTTTTGCTATGGGACAGATGATAAAATTCATAGAAATAATTGTGAAATCACTCCAAAAAGCCCAATGATTTGTGAAAAAAAAATGCTTGGTCGATTTATTCATATATTTCAACTAGTTTGAGCCTCGTTTGAGCTGTTGGCTTTACTCGAAACTGCTCGAAACAAATGTTCTCATGACTTTTTCTCGCAAATCTTTCCAAAAAAAGGGTGCAGAAAATAATCTGACTTACAACCACCGCGTCCTTTTGTCTGGCTGTCTTCAGAAGATGAGTGTTTCAATCCCACCACTGGCCGGCCTGGTTGAGGTGCCGGAGGGCGCGGAGGGCCACTGGTGAGGGCATACGGTTCTCGTTGTGGCTGCACATAAAGAAATGCGCATTAAAATTTCATCAAAACAAAATGGCGCCATTTCGTATGGCGGTCATTGTGTTTGTGCTTGCGACTTGCATGCAACACGAGCCATCTTTTTATGCAAACAAACAATGTCTTTGAATTCAAACGAAATGAATGCTTTACTCACACCAGGATGACCATCTTTTGCATGGAATGGCGTTGGATGCTGGAAAAGACCACGACCGCGGCCTCTAGCGCGGCCAACTGGTGGCTGATTTGGATCCATGTCACGTCAGACCTTTTCTTCTTCGTCAAATTAAATACTGTAGATGCGACAATCAATATATCAATCACTGTTTTAGTTAAAATTCTTTAAGACGAACGAATTTACACCGAAAATGCTCGAAAATTGCGTTATTACTACGTTTTCGTTCCTATACAATGTTCGGTGCAACAACAAAAACACAAAAAACAATATCTCTTTATTGTGCGCACGAACATAAGGAACCGTTAACCGCAACGATTGTTTGTGCACCATTTAAAATACAATACTGAATGGAATTGTGACGTTGCAATACGATTTGCCAGATGAAGCACAGTTTTTTTTGCTTTACGATTTTCACAAATTCACCGACATTTTTTTCTATTGGGAAATTAGCTGAATTTGCATAAGAATGTTACAAATTGTTGCGAAAATTGCAAAACGATGGCACGAAAAATCAAAATCGCGGGCAGAAAATGTACAATCGACACGTGGTGTTTATACTAGCAAAATCAAAAATTGCAACGACATAAAAAATGCCAACAAAACGAAAATAATTTCAACAAATCGGATGTTCACTTGACAATTCTCAATTAATTTTTATGAAAAACCAAAGAAAAGAACACTTTTGTCTTACCGAAAGACGATTTCGGATGAATTTTCACTTTGTCAACTGATTTTCTAATAGCGCGAATGCTATAAGTCAACTGCACCTCTCAATATATTCGGAACGATTGAGTGGTGTGATTCTCTCGTCACTGCTTGCGACTGTGCCAATGAAGTTTCACCAATACGAATGGCTTTCGCAATATGCGTAGTCTCTCAATATCATCTGTATTAGTCTCTCTCATTCGCACTCAAGAGTGAACCACCACATCGAACCGTCGTTAGTCTGTGTGCGCATATTCGCTTCACTTTACTCGCAGTGCCTACAACACAACCACTTACGCATACACTGAAACCAGAAACCATCCTCCGGCGACTGGTATTCGTATGCAAAGTGCGATTCTGTGTTGCGAACGAAAAAAAAACAGCACTGTCTGAATCGATGCTCGGCTAACGGTGAAAAAGAAACATCGTACACGGAGCAACATGCATTCCGTCTGAATGATGCCTCACTTTTCGAACCACGATTTGATGCGACATTTGTTTCTGTTGTACGACATGAAATTTCATGTTTCGTTCGAAAAACAATTGCACATTACATGTGCATGATACTTATCGAAACCTTCCAATGGCATCAATTGCAAGAAATACATTGAGAATGCATGCTTTTTTCACAATCAAACGTGCCTATTTTTCCTCTCTACCGGCAGCGAATCGCTGTAATACAACGCCAAATTGGCCGAACATTTGTTGCAATCAGCGAATCAAATCAAAATTAAATCATAAGTTCATTTTCCACTTATCACTGAATTGTTTGTTCTTGCAAGACATTAGCGTTTTTTTGTGTCAATATGTTCATTTTGGCTGAATAAAACAATGCGATCGTTTTCACTGCCATAAATACACGTTAAACCGTTTGATTCGACCACAAACACCAACTGATATGAGCGTCGTCAGCAAAAATGTGCTGTGTACGAAAAAGAAAGGCCGACCTGAGCGGAGAAAAGAAGTGCGAAAATTTTGCGACGCAATAAAAACTCAATAGCAACCGAAAGAGTGAGGCGATATCGATTTTCCTGGAATATTGCCTGCATTCATTTGTTTAAATGTTTGTTGGCACTGAAAATTGTGCGCAACATGATTTTTTCGTGCTTTGAAGAGATTTTTACTACACCGTTGACAGTAGCATATCAAAGCATCTCAACACAATCATTTCGATTATTCTGGCGAGCACAATCAACTCTTTCAACGATTCCAATGTGTTTTGGCACAGAAATTATTATCGCTTGTTTTTTATCCTCAATACTTACTCACATAACAGCATCATCGAGCGAGCTGAATGTTCGGTTCGCTGTATGACGAAAACGACAACAAAATGAAATGAAAAAGAAAAATCCATGCAGAACAAATGCGTATGATTGAAGTTTGAATTTGACAACTTTATTGAAATTTTTCTATTCGGTACATGATTGGTTCTAAATGCGAATCAAGACAATTGGTGATAATAAGAAATTTTACTATTTGTTTATGCATTTTTTCTTAGTTCTGTATCTATTTGAAACAAACGTTATGGTGACTGTTTGCATTAAATCGCGTTTTCTACTTTGCATGTATGTGCTTGGCGTCATCGTCATCGTCGTTCTACTAATAAGAAAAACATAAATATATTTCCGACCGGGAACATTTTAACAAATGAACGAAGAAAAAAAATGTGGATTGCTTTTCATCTCAAAATCATTGCTATTCACACACGCATTTTGACAACCAGAATTAAAGAGTATAGAACAGATTGAGAATCCATTTGTCTAAGAACAAACTATATTATAGAACAAATGATATACTTGTTTGTTTTTTTTTTTTGGTAAATTGCTATAACGATAAATAGATTTCTAAAGATTCAAAACACATATCGAATACGAAATTATTGTTTTGTGAAAATAGATTTTCCGCAAGAGATTTGTATTTGTTTTTGATATTATTTGTGCTACCTAAAAATTCTCATCCTAGACTAAAATTAAATTTGCAATTAAAATTCTAGATTCCATTTGTATATTGGCTAGAATTGAAACAATTGAGACAGTTTGTTTTTTGCTTTCATTTTGAATAGACTCCCTTCTGTCATAGATGCAAGATCACAGTCATTCACCTATATTCATAATAATGCAACGAGCGAACTCTACAAAGGCAAACCAAAATCGAACGAAATGCTAAATGGTAAATTAAATCTAGAGTTGAGTTTTGTTTGGTGTTTTTTTTCTAAAGAGAACTAACTAAGTCATCCGACGGTGATGAGCGAATGAAGAAAGAGAGAGAGAGAGAAAAGGGTTGTCAGTCTGAAAATATATAGCTGAATTCGTTGCTCGCTTTAAAATTAAATCATCAGAATGAAACCGAAATTCGAAAATTCAACCTCAATGCGGCGTCTACCGAGTACCTCTCTTTATTGTTCATAAATGTATCAATTGGATTTTTTTTTTTTCAAAATATTTTCATTTTGGTATATTTTGCTTGGTATCAGTGAAAATTTGTTGAAAAAATTTCTTGATTCTCGACTTAAAGTTTATTTTGTTGTGTAGCGAACGATTATTTTACGCATAGGCTTTTTTTTGTTTTGCTTAACAAATCTGAAAAAAATATGTATGTTTTTTTGTTGGTTGGTTGGGTTTTCCCATTGTTTTTGTATCAGATTCTAAGTAGTTGGTAAAAGTTAGTTGTTTGTTTGTTGTTATAAGGTACATTATGTATATATTAGGCTGATGTATTGTATTTTGTTAGTTTGTTGTCTGAATTCAATCAATTCGCTTGAGTATTCTCATAAAATCGTTTTGCAGCGCGAGTTTTTTTTCTTCTTTGGTTTTAATTATTTTTTAATAAGCTAATTGAATGATTCCAAAGATTGCTCAAAAATTCCATAAAATGTGTAGTTTGGGTAGAAGCATGGCCCGAATACAATTTAAAATGCCATGCTCGTTCTTCGTCCCATGCGTCCGCCGCCTCGTGATAATCCACCATGTGACAAACTGCGGGAACCCATATTATGGCTCATCAAGGCTCCAGCTGTGTAAAACAAAAACCAAATCAATCCGTTCAGATGAAAGTCAAACCAAATTAAAATCATTTTCAAAGAATCATCATTAATTTATGTAAAATGTATGGTACACGTACCTCCTTTAGTTTCACTGCCTTTGCGTTCACGAGCCTTGCGCAGAAGACTCGATGTGCTTGGTCGACGACTCTCGTTCGGTGTGACATTTGTGGATGGCATTGGTGGTTTTTTATCAATTATGTCGGACGTAGAAGAACGGCGAATATTTGGAGGTGTGGTAATAGATAAAAACGGTGAACTCGCCTGCGACCGCGTGTAATCGGAGTGAACTGTAGTTAGGTGCTGTGATTGTGTCTTATCAAAACTGCCGCGATGTGAGTATGGCGACTGTGGAAACGAGATCAACAAATGCTCTTCGTCGACATCATTGTCAACGGCTTCAACCTTGAGATAGGGTGTACGTGTGGTCGTCGTAATGCTTGTTTTGCTGCTAGATGCAGTTGGTACGGTTGTTGATTTACCCGATCCACTGCTGTTCGTATCCTTGCCATGTTTTCCCTTCATGCTCGAACAAATCGATCGAAGATTAAAGTCCAGCGATTTGAAACTTATCATGCTGAAATTTCGTTTGACGGTCTTTTTTGACGATGACGACGTGGATTGAGCCGTTTGTGGTGACATTGCTGTTGCATCGCATTTCGGTGACGCCATGATCTCTACTTTTTCTTCATCAACACCAACACCACCACTGCCGCCACCGCCATTAGCAGCAGCAGCAGCAGCGTTGGCTGTGAGTGCATCGCATGTTTTACTAGTAATATCTAAGCGTAGCGAATTTTTACTGATACTTTTCGAGCTATCTACGTGTTGAGCAAATGAATTATTATCGCATTTAATCGTGGAAATTGAATGCTGTTTTTTACTATTAACAATTGAAGAAGAACAAGTATTGGTAGAAGAATTATTAGTTGGTGCAATCGGATTAAAAGTATTATTCGAACTGCCGCCGGTCAAATGCATCACATCGGGACTCTTTGACACGGCGGTCTTTGACAATTTGTTATCGATGTCTAAGATCTCCTTTTGTCACTGTATTTCACAAAAAGCTACCTTAGACGTTTCCTTTGAATCTTCACACAAACTAATAGTTTCCTCTTTCGGCGTTTCTGTCCCGCAGGCCACCCTATCGCCTGCGGGACCGGCTGATTGTCACCGAAGCGCTAACGTTGATATTGCTGGCGGTCGTATAGGTTTGTTGTCCAATATCCGCTCCAATTCAAGCATTACACTTGCCGAGAGTCGTGGTAGTAGCTGCAGAGAAAAATGTATCAAATTGTAGTCAATTGGAGATTGTGGAGGAGCAATGGAAACAACTCAATGCCCTGAATGCAAATGCTTGAAAATCTTATTTATGGCGGCACTTACAAGGCACACATTTTTACCTGTAACGCTTGTAAATTCTGATGTAATTGCTCAACATTTATGGCACCGATCAAGAGACACTGCACTGGTTCATGTTTCAGTGTCCAAGCAATTGACAGTTGAGTTGGACTGCATCCCAATTTTTCCGCCAACGAACACAAATCACGCACTTTGTCACTTTGCTTGCGTGTTTCATCAATCCTTTCCTTCGACCAGTTGAAGCTCTGCATGGGAAAAAAAAAACAAATATCCACATAAAAATGTACATCAACATTTTGATCGAGTTATGTCTTGGAAATGCTATTGTGTTATGAATAACTCACATTTTTATTGATTTCATCTTCAGTCCATGAATAGCTGTGACTTTTCGTCTTAAATGAGTTCTTCGGAAATAGTAAACGTTCACCGTTTTGTGCATCGCCCAATGCCATCGACAATGGGCCCCATGCCATCAATCCAACGCCAATTTTATTGTACATTTCCGGTAAGTACAGTTCACACTTTTCACGGCAGAACATATGGTATTCGGATTGTTCGACGATCGGCGGAATACAATTGAATTGGCGACAGTTTGAATACGCTTCCATAATCTGCATGAAATTGACGCATAAAAAACTTTGACAAATTCCATTCATACACACACACACACACAATGGATGAATAAAAATGGTGAGCATGTGAATTACCTCGCAATGAGTCCAACGGCTGGTACCCCAATACATAGTCCATCCTTCTTGTATTATGTATGTCATAGCGCGAACAATTTCTATGAAAAGAATGCGAATGCAGATCGTGTTAATCAAAAGTTTTTATTCTATTTTATCACACAATAAAGCTAGAGAGCTGTATGTATGTGAGGCGATAGCAAACAAAGGCCATTGAATGAAATGGCATCGTTTCTGCAACTACACTATATTTGAATGAAATGGGTCGCATAATAGCGTCAATACTGCGGAGAGAAACGAGATGAGAGAGAGAGAGAGAGGGAGCGAATGAGACTAACTCACCTTCCATTGGGCACATTGGATCTGCTTTGTATATAGTCACAATGTCAACATACGCCAATTGCAGACGTAGTAGGCTTGCTTTCACACTTTCGATGATGTGTTTGCGCGATAGTCCACGCTCTTCACCCTTCATGCTCCAGTAAATTTTTATTGTGACCACGTAGCCGGTTCGTTTCCAACCATGCTTCTGAATAATTTTTCCCAATTCCACTTCTGCAAAAAGCCAAACAATCGTTTTTATCGTTGCGCGACCATAATAAAAACATTAGCGTTTACTAACCGGAGTGCGCTTCAGAGATATCAAAGATGTTGATTCCACTGTCATATGCGAGCTTAACAATGGCTTCGGCTTGCTCTTCGGGAACGCCTGGTGAGAATATTGGCCACGTGCCTAGGCCAACATTTGATACACGTAATCCGCTTTTGCCCAAGTTTTTGTATCGTAATCCTGGTGTTGGTGCTCCGTGGCGTATTGTTAGCGCTTGATTTGAACCCAAACTTATTGAACGACCTGATTTTTTTTTTCCATCAACATCATCATCAAAAAATAAACCGCATTTTTTTAAAACGCAGAATAGACCAATCGCGAAACAAGTACATGAAACAATGAAAACGGCAAAGAATTAGTAAATTTCAATTATAAATATGTAGAAAATCACAACATCTACTATGGTTGACATTCGGTTGATGCGATTTCCCTTGCGGATTTAATGAACATAGTATATACACTTTTCCGAAACATTTGCGTAATCTCATTTGAGAGAGTGATAAATATTTAAACGGAATTATTGCACCAAACATATATAATACACGTATATTAGTATGCTGCAAATGCTATTAAAATGATTTCGCAACCGAAGAGAAAAAATGTCAATACTAATCGTTGTTGGAGTTGAAGCATGGATTTTGAAACTTAAATCAAAACGAAACGAAACGCAATTCATTCACGCTGCATTTGATTTGGTAACATTGCATTTATCAGTGTAAAAACGGATTTATGTAGAGTTTTTTTTCTCCAAATTTAAATTGGCTCCAAAACTTTTCCCATTTGCTGAAATGCATTTCAACGTGTCAATTTTTGAAAAAGCAAATCCAACTTTTTGTTATTTGCAACCAGTTGCGATTCAATGACTTTTTTACATGCTAAATACAATGTTTCGTTAAAGTGTGCGTTCGAAAACGATTCACTTGTTTGTTTGTTTTTTTTTATTCGTGCAGAATGAAAACGCAACTTAATTGCAAATGATCCAATGAACGTAAATTCAACACATTTTCTGCTAGTTGTTGATTTTATCGTTTGTTTTTTGTTTTGTGAATAAAAGCAAAAAAGCCATAATACCGAAATCAAGTTGACCGCCCGTACCACTAAACTCTTCCATGCAATCAAGTGATGCGATTGGAGCTCGACACCTGCAAAAAAGACCATGTGGAAAAAGAGAGAAGGAGAGAAGAGAAAACGAGAGAAAAATGAATCAAATTGTAGTCGAAAATCCGATTATGTTGTCATTTGTAGATAACGTAATGTTAACTGAATGGCACTCGGTGTCACATTCAAGATTTTTGCTAAAGCTCTTTTCGAAAAAAGGAACCCAAATGGAAAAAAAGAAACCAAAACGAATCACTGTGCAACATTTGTACGTGTGTGTCGTGCTTGGATTACATTTCAGTTCCCCATTGATTGGAAATGCAGAATGCTTTGCCCTATATAATTTTGTAAAGCACAAAATTCAATTGCGCTTACACGCAACGTTTCACCCGAAACCAAACAACATGAAGAAAAAAAAGCACTTCGACGACGAATCTATCCATTTTTACCTGTAAATTGTAACTTGATTTGGATCATCGGTTTCGTTGTAATTAGATTTCGCGTTACTATTATTGTTATTGTCATTTCCGGCTGTGGTTTGGTGCAACGTTGAAGATGATGGCGACGTGTGCATGCCTGCACTGCGGTGCAGAGCAGATGCCGAAGACGAAGATGGTAAATTGGCAGCATTCGATGCATTTCGTGATGCTGCTGCTGCTGCCGCTGCCGACGATGTCACACAATTTTGGTCGGAGGATTGATTGCTGCGTCGTGGACCAGATGGTCCACCCAAATTACACAAAACCAATGACATCTTGCGGGTGATTTTGGTTTTTCGGTTCTATCTCTTTCACACTGAAAATGAAGCCCGTCGATGAAATGTTGTTGTTCGAATTTTTATGCCGTTTGATGGGCACAGCACTAAATCACTTTTAGCGCTCACTAACGATAGCAGCAATAATTAAATGCGATTGTGATAAGATCAATCGTCGTCGTCGTCGTCGTTGTCGTTGTCGGTATTCCCAAGGCATACACATTTATTTCATACATTTGAGCACACACTCGTCGTACACTTTGACACTAATGGCATGTTGGAACAAACTGCAAATGGTACGTACTGAGGGATTAATATCCAAATGGAAAACGAAATAGCAAAAGCTGTTTATTGTATCGACTTAATGCCATACACACATACACATATCAAAATCGATAAATCCCCCCTTTCCGAACAGAAAATGCCAACAGGAAAATGCATTAATATTGATACATATGAACTGTATCTAATAACAGCAATATTCATCAACGTTGACCGAAAAATATTTCCATTATTTTGTCATTTATCCGTTGGTATTACGGTTGTTTATTGATTTCAGCAAAAAATATATGGACTTTGGATCAATTTTTTTTTCCTTTTATGTGTCGAACCTCCCGATTTTTCGGACTTTTCAATTAAATTAAATAAAACATTCTTCGAAATAATATGGCATCATTGTGTCAAGTGAGTTCAGGTGGAACAAAATTTAAAAATAAATAACAAACTGAACCAGAAAATTGCGAGAGAAAGAGAAAAACAAACGAAAAATTGCAGCGTGTGTAGTACAGTGTTGGTTGAAAAATGGTGCAGTAATAATAGTTGATTACCCGATTGGTGGTTTTTTTAATATAGATTTTAAATCGCCTGTTGTCATCGTTTTGTGCGATATGAATCTGTCAGCGCCACTCCAAACTGTGTAGAGCTATTGATTGGATTTTGGTTTTCGGTTGAAAAAGCGAAAAACGACACCGGCTCGCTACTGATCGAAATGATAACTAAAAATGAAAATTGTGGCAAATCATTGTATGAAATGTTTTGTATGCCTTTGCCAGTGCATGTGCCTTCGTTCGACTCCTTTCACATACACCGACACGACTAACGTACAACAACAACTGTCGCATACGACAACGATATATGATTTTTTTAGTGGCAACCACCCCGAACAAGAAAACGTGCTGACTATGAATTTTTAACGCTATGATTGTTTTATTGTCTGCCTATACTACTCCGCACACACATCTGTGGAAAGTCAGTGGAAAAAAAGCGTATAGTGCGATTCACTTTGCATCGTTTCTCTCTGTGAAATTTTCTTTTTTTTTTTTCGTGCAGCTTTTCTTCTTTTTCCTTGTGGAAAATCACTCTTCTGGAATAATTTTTGTGTGCAACGAAAAAGCAGAGGCCGTGAGACTCTCTCTCTCTCTCTCTCCCTCTCTCCCTCTTTGTCTGAGAGAGAACTGAAAGAATCCAAGCTTTTTAACCGAATTAAAAAACAAAACGAAAGGAAGCGCACACAGGAACACTGCTTATATTTTAAAAAAAAAATAAGTAGCCACTTTGTATGAAATTGCCGAGTCAGTGCGACGGTGCGAAAGAACGAAACTCGATTTTGCATAAATATTTGATGCAAACAAAAGTCATATGTGTATGTGTGCCTGTGCATGTGTATGGTATACTTGTGTGTTGTAGCTTGTGTGTTGCAGGAAGTCACACATTCCTGCGGATATTCAATGAGAAGCTTTAATGCAAACACTAGGCAATGGCAGTCATATGCGCCTCGGATTAAACTTTAATCCGTTGTGTGTGCATTAATGATTCAATGGCTGTAAATGTACGTGGCATATGTGTTCATTCATGCCGAATGCTTCCATCGTCGTGCTCTTTTCCACGCCACTGAGCACTGAGCATAGACCAACAAATAACGACGTATCTGTGAACCATTCTTTTTTCCACTACAATTGAGCTCGATCGAAGTTGATGATATTGTTCAAAGTAAACAAAAAAAAGGACTCTACCGTATTGGCTATTAGAAAGTTATCATTTTGGGGTCATTTCCTTTGTGTCGCATGCTGTGTTCATTTGGAAATAAATAAATTTCCCGTGTAAACAATTAGCAATGGTTTTATTACCAAAATCGACTGTAATTACGAATCTCCTATTTATATCTGTCTGTCTGTGGAATACAAAGCTTCGAAATGACTTCGATTGCCACCGAAATCGCATTACAAACTACGCTACTAAATCAATATGAAGGTTTTTTTTCACTTTGGTTCGCTTTGCATTGTGTTCATGTGTGTGTGTGTGTGTGTGTGTGTGTGTGTGTGTGTGTGTGGGGTTGAAATATGCCTCGGCCAAATTGGCATTTACGAAGCAAATAAACGTAGCTCGTATCTATAATTATCAATCAGATAAGGTTTTCTGGTGTAACAGTTAGCCGATGTGGATGAGCCTCTTGTGTGGTGTGTGTTTTGTGTATATGTGTGTCAGTTTCAGTGTGTGACGCAAACATTGAAATTATGTCGATACGGCTCAAGTTGGATCCCAGAAGCTGAAATCAGATTGCCAATTCATATCGTTGAACGCATATTCATGTGGGACGAATCGGTCGATAGTATCGATACATCTAGTGCATCCCCCCATCGCTTTTGATCTCGATGGATATTGTCTTTTGTGGTTGTCATATCATCAGCAAGAGCAGCTCGAATGCATCGATTTTGCATTAAATTACCAATCGATGCACTGATGCATTATCGAAATACCAAAACTAACGACAATCTTCATTCAAGTGAGAATAATGATGGAAAATTCAACATTATTAACTCGATGAACTGTTACGATGTAAAGTACAGAGCGTGTAAAAGTATTCAAAAAACAGATGCAATGAAACTGTTTGCAGTCTTTGCCATTCATACTTTCAAAAGCTTATTTTTGTCCGTATTATGCTGCAAAAATATCATCAACATGAGAATTGCTTTTAAGAGGTCACTTAAGCTGCACCCAATCTTTCGGCATACCTCTTGGTGTGAATCTGAAACTAAATCACTTTAAATTTTAAACCAAACACCATTTTGTCAGACACACATACATAACATTGCAGTGGTTTTTTTTCTTCTGCAATTTCTTTGAAAACTTGTGCCATAATTCCCATAAGATGTGTCGGAAGCGAATTGTGTGGAATTCAATTTTACTCTTTTACATAAAATTATTATTTAACGAGGGCAAAGTAATTAAACACAATTTTTTTCCCTATTCCGAACAGCAGAATGCAACACTAAATAGCTGAAATGCAACGCATCTACGAACTGCAACAACGAAAAAAAAAGATTATTTCGGTTTATGGTTGGTGTACACATGATATAAGTCATAAAAAAGCAGACATAAATGCATTCATTACTCCGGAGGGTGCATTTCTTACTGCAAACAGCAATATAAACTTTTATGACAATAAACTATTGTATGCAAAACTGAAATGTTTTTGTCAGCGGTGGTGGATATTAAGTTTGGCTCCTTCAAAAGTTGGCATAATATTTATGAATTGAATTAATCTTTCTCACTCTCTCGTGTAATTTGCGCTTATCAAAAGCAGAAGTTGTTAGTGATTTGTCCTGTAAATATTTTCCATCAAATTGTTGAATGTTTATAAAGAGGGAAAGCGAACGAATTGCCTTTTTAAAAATTCATTGATAGTTTGACCTATGGTTCGAACACCCACTCGAAAATCCCGAAACGCTATAAAATGGTGTTTATTCCAATGTAAAACCGTAGAGTAATTGAGATGAAAAAAAAGCCAACAACAATTTGATCGCAATCGTCAATATTTTTCCAACATAAATACGTTTCGAGGCAAACGTTATCATGAATAACAAAATATAAATTCATAGCGGTGCACGCCAAGAGAAATACAAATCTAGGTTTACTTTGGAGTAGAAAATAGCACGAGCAATATCTAAAAATATTGAAATTGAGTATGAAAAATCAAAGTTCACTCTAAATGTGGCACCTTCAAATATTCACTTGGTTTAATTTTGATTGAGCTTGGCTTTCGTGTGTATACATCTGTGCATGTTTCAAATAGTGAAATAACAATGCCATTTTTTCCCTACCAACCACACTTCAATATGTACATATGAATATCATGGAAAACATATTTTCCATGCAAGGGAACAAATTGAATCGTACCAAATGTTGAAGATTTTCTATTGATCGATTTATGGCTTTTTGAAATCACAAGTGATTCGATGTAACAGATTTCGTTTGCTTTCAAGCGAAGCGATTGCTTCCGTCATAAACCGATTATTATTCGTGGGAAAGAAAAAAGTGAAAAAAAGAGGAACGAAATCGAATATTATATTGAATATTCGATTGAAACGAGTGGTGCAAACGATGGAAAATGTAGGAAAAAATGCAATGGAATGAAGCGAAAACTATGCAAATGGTAAATAAAATTACGGTTATTTGTGGCACGAGATTGTGTTTTTAAAATCAATGGTTTCGTAAGTGTTTTTTACGCTTTATTCAGTTTTTACGATCATATACGTTGTACTCTCGACTTGATTTTGTTTCGACGAGAATTCACAACGATGCAAAAGACGACGAAGAAGGATATTGAGGATAGCCAGAAAAAAAATATTTTGTCATTTACAAAACATCCCGAATCGACACGAGTTCAAATGCTTACTGAGAACGATGCGATCCACAAATGTATCTATCCTATATGTACGCATGTATGCATGGAGTGTGGTGCTCTCGATTTGATTATGCAATGCGATATTCTTTATGTATGCATTGCTGTATTTCACTGCAGTCGTTACACGACTCAAGCAGCGGTGAAGTGCTTCTGCACACTGTGTGTTTGTTCATTCGGTCGCTTTATGCTGCCCCGTTTCGCGAAAGTAGGACTGAATAACAACGGCGACGCGCGGTGTTTGCTGTTGGCACGGTAATGCCAATGAAAAACGAATTTTCTCACTTGAAAATGCGAGGTAACTACTGAAGCCGAGGTAGAATAAAGAGAGAGAGAGAGAAGAACACGCGTCAATATAACAAACGCTATTGAAGCACAGGGAAAAAAGCACACAAACACACACCACACCGAGTCCCATTTGACTCGTTTATGCAGAAACATAAGATACATGTGGATTACCATTTGTGGCTTTCAATGCGGAGCAAATTCACAAAGAGTAAAATAAATCGACTAAATTAGTTAACTGAACACAGAAAATTGCAGTTGTCCTCGTTTTATCTCTTGGGCTCCCAATTTTTTTCTTCCGGTCGGTTGGTTAAAAATTTCATTAATTTTCCTTGCTACACTTTTTGTCTAGCTTTTTGTCCACTCTGGTTTTAGTTGTGGGCATTCTTTTTTGCTGGTGGTTTTTATTCGGTCGTTTCGTACATTCATTTGTATGATAAATGATCGTGTGAAGTGGAAGCGTCCGAGGTGGCCACATCCATTTCGAATTGAATCGATCGATATACTCGTGTCTTTGGCTTTGGTTGACAGCAATCTTTCAACTGTCACCTTCTACACACATTTTCACGGGCATTCTAATATTGCTAGATTTTATTTTTAGCAGGTGACCTCACACATATTTACAACATTTTTTCAAACTTTGCCGCAACAACAACAATAACAACAAATACCAGAAGAAGAAAAAAAAAACACCACAAAATTTGTCATTTTATAGTCATAACCATTTTTCACCATTGGACATATTCTAATTACGTAAGAGACAGCACAATTTTATTTTACTTTTTTATTCGCTGTTCATTCGTCACCATTTCATTGTTTTACGCAAATTTGCATTCACATTTGAGTATACATCGTTTTGATGGGAAAGGTGCAGGCAACAACGGTGGACGGGTGGTGAAAGGGATCGTGTGTCGCTGGTGTGTGCTATAATAGAAAATTTGTTGTGGCACGCAAACATAAAATCGTATTTTACCGATGGAACCGTGCCGTACCCGCACATGACATTACCATTACGTTTTCATTATGTTTCTCGGCTTTGATTCGAAATTTCCGGTTTTTATTTATTCAATCTTAAACTTTCTTTGTAAATGACTCTTTTTTTCTATATCGCGCTTATTTGTGTGCTACCAATCGATTTAATTTTCCCGTGCGGTCGTGGGTTTCTTTTTTCTTGTTCGTTCTTCAAGGGAATAATGTCAATGGTTGCAAGAGCAAGTGTGCCTTCGCCTTCAGACAAACGAGACGAAGACGGTTATATTGTTAGGCAATTCAATGTGTATTTGGCCATTGAGTTGCACGGCTTTCAGCATGGCAGAGAAAAAAAGGTCTTGATCCATTTGTACGAATCAAAATCAATTTAAATTTAATTTCAGAGATTGCGAGCAAAACCAAACAGATTTTGTACGTATTGAATTTGCCATTTCGATTCGAAATGATATCAGTTCCCCCCTCTCAGAACGTAATTAAGAACATAAGTTTATGTTATGTCTAACGGCTGCTTCTCTCGTATTCATTCGCTGTATCGCATGAACATACATAAATTCCTATAGCAATCAAACACTTTAGCCAATGTAAAATACACAAATCACTGGCAGTATTAAGACCACAGTATGATGTTGATGTAAACAAATTTCACGAGAAAAAAAATGTTTCGATTGAAGCAATAAAAAAAATCAGTACACAATTTATCTGCATTTTCAACGAGGCAGAGAATGAGCGAGAGAATGGGAGGAGAAGAGAGTGTGTGAGGAAAACGAGCTGACGAACTTTAAAAAATTATCAAACGTCCAACACACAAAATTCATTCCATTCACTTGGCACACATAAAAAGGAACTACATCGACCGCGATATTTTGGTTTGGGTATTTTTATTTCAATACATTCAATTTATTTGCTTTGTTCAAATTCTTTTTTTCTTTCCTTCTCTCTCTCTCTCACTCGCTCGCCTGCTCATTCGCTTGCCGTTAATGTCACTTCGTCGTATATTTTTTTATGTGTGCTAATGTTCTTTTAGCTCGGACTCGTCTGGCAAAGCGAGAATCAAAATAAAAATACACACAGTTGGAATGAAAATAATAAATAAACGTCATGCACTGCTGCGGCCACGAATGAATATTATTTGAACCATTTTCCATTTTTTTTTACTGTTCCGTACTCATTGTGATCTGTTTGGGATTTTTAAATTAATTTGCTTTTCTATTGGATTTTACATTTGGTTAAAACGCTTTTTATCCTTGTGCAATTGATTGTTATTTCTTATGCTTCTGCAGACGCGACACATTCACAAGTGGAAAAGGAAATTAATTTCGTGTGATAGAAATGAACAAACGAACGAACATACAAAAAAAAAAAAAAAAAACCGAACAACAATCGAACTATCGAAAACGAATTGATTTGAGTGTGCGTTTGGCAATAGCCAAAACAGCACAGCACGCGTTCACGGAAAGCACTTCGCCTTTCAGACGATTCAAATGTTGCAGTAAAACTGAACTCTGGGAAAATTCATGCCTGTCTATTTACTCTGTGTACTCGGTGTGTGTACGTCTTCCCTCGTTTTGCACATTCTCAGCCATAGTGCTATGTGTACACACATAGAAAATGATCCGTTGGATGGATTTTCATCGAAAATGCATGTGAACGTTGGCGTGCTAACGAAAACGAAACGGAACGTAGAACGGCATGATACACACACCGACTGGTATGTTGTTCATTCCGTGTGTGTTTTGCTGTTGTTCGCATGGCGAAAGCGTGTGTGCTTGTCTGTTGTCTGTGCGCGTATATTTGCTATAGCACATATGTTTTCCACAATTTTACGGCACTTTTTTGAAATTATCATCGTTTGGTTTTGTTGTTGTTGCTGCTGCCGCATTCGCTCCTTATTCTCAGCCCGCATTGAATGCCTCTGTATTATTATTAGATCATGTGCTTTTTCGCCTCATTTTTCGCTCTCTCTCTCTCTCTCTCTCTCTCTCTCTCTCTCTATCTTCTATTGGATATATTACGATTGAATTTACGCTAAAAAAACACTCTCGCCTCCGAGCATGCGACGACTTTTTTCCTTACTGTTGTTTTCTCTCGTTCTAAATAGTTCGCACCAAACAAAATAAAAAAAAATCTCGGTGTCGAGATTTTGCCTCACTCGCACAACAGATCTCGTCACAAATCGGATTTCGGACGATGAATTTCAAATGTGTTACATGTGTTGGAGACAATTGACAAATATTTTCATTGGAAGCACTTTTGTTCAATTGGGTGGTGATGTATAAAAACCACAGTTGAATGTACACTATTATTTACCAAATGAATGTTGTCATGATCATGAAATCTTGATGAAGCAACTACTTTATCTCTGGCACAGATTACTTTTTCGTCCATTCAGATCGGATTAAAGCAATACCAATTGAAAATTGAAATTTGATCTGGGCATTTTTTTCTCTTTCGATGGTATTCAAGTGTTTGCAGCTTTAAACTACAAACATAAATAACATTTTATTGATGTGGAGTGCGACGAGAAAAAAGTGAATACCAAATTCACTGGAAAGAGATGTGAGAAGTGAGAAGTGAAAGGCTGTTTGAAATGGTTGTAATTAAGTGGTATTGTCATTTATATCATAAGCATATTCGTGTGTTCTGTGCATGTTTTGTCTAATTGCGGCAGTTAGATAACGCTCATATTTCCTAACGACAGAAGTTTATTGAGGAAGTTGTAAAGTGCATGTCTTGGATTCGTTCTGGAATAGATTTATCCTCGAAAATAGCATGTATAAAGAATAGATACAAGTAAGCATATTCAATAGGGCATAGATAATACCCACACATTTATGGATTTGGAATCAGTCGAAGCAGAGATAAGTTTGGCACTGTGTGAACGATGACAACGTTGAAAATAAAACGAAACGACTGAACAGAAAAAAAAATGTTTCCAAGAAAATCTCGTCGGAACAAGCGAATTCGAAAAGACTGCATTGCGCCTATATAACAGACGGGTATATTTTGCGTCATGTCAAATATCACCAGACAGTTGTCTCTTTTATGCTCGCGTTCATTTCTTGGTTGCGGTGAAAAGGCCGCACAAAAGCATGCTTTGCGACATAAACACACACACACACACACACA